AAATCGTGTATAGAAAAACACTTGCTGCAAAATAAGTGGGTAAAGTGAAAGCCCTGAAAATGAAGAGTACACATGGAGGGTGTGAGACATCAATCTTATTGTCGAAATTTATCTACAGGAAAAGCTTCTTATCCACTATATATAAAGAAAGAAGAAATATAGTGCAAACTTCAAAACTCAAGCCATAGAAAAAGGGAAATGTAGGATCAATATTATTCTTGGATGAGTATTGATAATTGGAACATCTTGTAAATACATCTATGAGTGAAGAAGTGATAAAGATGTGAATAGAAGAAGTGAAGTCTAGATTGTTATTCCAAGGAGTGTTTAAACATTTAAGTGCTTGACATCATTCTTAAATACTTCATATAAGAATCCAAAGTGTCTAAAGGTGCATCATTTCTAATTGTATTTTTTTCTTTCTGTATTGAAATATGATGTTTGAGATTTGTAAATTTTTATTTTCGTAATTCCATTGCTAAGGGACTAGCAATGATTTAAGTTGGGGGGTGTGATAAGTCTTCATTATCATGGGTTAATAATTAGTAAATAATATAGTTTTAGCCTTAACTCATGATAAATAGAGTTATATTTGTGTTAAAGTGTGAAAAGTGGTTTTCAGTTGATTAATGTGATTTTTTGGGTAATTATGTGATTTTATACGAATTTATATGATTTTTACAGTCTTACTTTTGAGATAAATGAAGAAAAAGAAATAAAACTAAAATATTGCAAAATGGGGGGGACCCGCCGACCAGCCGGGCCTGCAAGCGGGTCGGAAGCTCAGTCGGGGAGTAGCCGCGAGCAGGGGCTCGAGCGGCTTGGACCGATAGGGGCACGTGTGCGCCACTCCCCTTCCACGTCACCGGTGGCCAGCCGGCTGTGGGGCAAGGAGTGGTCGTACACGCGAGAAAAGGGACTTTGCTTGGAAAGCTAACATTACTTTATATTCGCCTGAAAAATTGGCGCACAACCGATGTGGGACTAAACCCGCATCACACCTTCCTCAAAAGGGGCGGACAACCGGCGCGGGTTTGAATCCTCCTAGAGTCAAAATTCATATATTTTTATCTGATTATCACGACTTTCCGTCAGATCGCCGGTGAAGGATTAAGCAACGAGAATCGCTAGATCATCGGCAAAAATCTCGTCAACGCGATTCGCGGAGCATTGCTACTAAAATTGCTGAACGATTCGCGATAAAAGGATCGCCAATCCATCGAGTAAATCATCTCCGATTGATCAACGAACAAGCCATCGTCAGGAAGAGGACGATCCGTCGGGAGACGAGTCGCCACCTCCTGAGAGCGTACCGGATGCAATGAAGAGCCTCCTCTTGCTGCGCGGACCTGAGGATGAAGCTCCCTAACACGCGCCCCACCTCCATCCAGCTCCTCTCCGTGGGGTGACAGCCGCCAGAGAGACGCAAAGTCGCTGTTTTTCCGCTCCGCCGGGTGACAGCCGCCGGAGACGACTCGACGACCCATTTCAGTGATCTCTAGACTTCGCGAGAAGATCTAGAGATTGCCCACGTCATCATTGTCCAAGGAGAGCCATCGAGGCTGTGGACACTGCACAACGATCCTCCCGAACGCTCAGGATTCCGGTGCATCGCCGACGCATCACCGTCGCAATGCCGGAACTCTGTTTTCCTGCTTTCAATTTAAATAACGTCGGAACTCTGTGCACTATATTTCTTCGTTCTTTTTTTTTTGATATATATAGTGGATAAGTAGCTTTTCCTGTAGACAAATTTCGACAATAAGAATGATGTCTCACACCCTCCATGTGTACTCTTCATTTTCAGGGCTTTCATTTTATCCACTTATTTTACAGTAAGTGTTTTTCTATACCCGATTTTCGACAATGAAAATAATGTCTCACACCCTCCATGTGTATTCTTCGTTTCTAGATTTTTCATATTGCTCCTTTTTTTTTCGAAATAAGTGATTTCTCCTCACAAGTCTTATAGATCTGGGTGCAAAAATCTCTATTAAACTCAAATGATCAATCAAATTTTCAAATCAAGTAAATACTATCCATCAAGATCATGAAGTAAAAATCTATAAAATCAAATCCATGTTATCTATCATGTATCCAAGGAGTATTCCAATATTTCATGCTACTAGATCATTCTTTTGACTCAATAATAATCTTCCTAGTATCTTTTGGTATCAATCAATCTAATTGATTTAATTTTTCATGCATGTAATATGATGTAAGAAATTTGTAAATTAGATAGTTCTGACAGTTTTGTTTTCTATTTTCAGATCTATTTTTAGCAACAATAAATTTGTCAAAAATAAATCAAAACTATCCTCTTTATAGCTGTAATTTCGAATTTCAGTGATATATGTCTAGGGGATTGAAATGTGAGAAAAGGGTCTCTAGAATTTCAAATTTTGAGCTGTTTTTTGTCTGCTGTTTTTGACAGTATCTTGTTCCTGACAGAAAACCAGAAAATAGATGTTGTAGTTTTTCTGAATTTTATTTATTATTCATTTTTTTTTTCAGTTGCTGTTCTAATGCAAACACATGTTCTTAATTGTCCTACAGCATAAATTAATAATGAATACTTCACCCCTAAACTTAAAAATTACATTGTCCTCAATGACACAGAAAATTAAAACAGAACATGTAGAAAATATAATTTTCAAGTGAAGCATGCATATGTGCAAAGTTAAACATTAAAAATATTTTCATAAATGATAAAGCTCAGAAAGACATCACCCCAACCTTGTTTTTAATTTTCCACTTCATCTTACACTCTTCCTCCTACACTTTTTCGAAAAAAAAAATACAGAAACAAGTACTGTGAAATTCTAAGAAAAACAGAGCTTAGAAAAAAATCAAACAGAATGAAATAAAAACCATGGGTTGCCTCCCATGCAGCACTAGATTTAATGTCTTCAGCTAGACAACTCTTAGATCATATAAGATGATCTATGGCCATCAAAATATATTTGTATCCCAAGGTAAGTTTCATGATATTCTTTTTCAGATTTAGCATAAATTCATATACTTCATATATATACCTTGACATACTTTCAGCCAAAACAAAATGGAAATTAACAAGATTTTCCCAAAAATAATATTTCTATTTTGAAAAAAATCTCTCCTCATTTCTATCTTTTTTTGTAAGGCTCTCATTCATTAATAAATACTTTCTATTAATAGACCATAAAATGTGATCAGGCCATATAATTTTCAAATTAGCTCCTACCCAATCTAGAATTTTTTCATCTAAATTGATATCTCTAATTCTTCCACTCACCCATTTCTTAATGTGTTCTTTTATCTGCATAATTTTCCCCTGCCCCATTTTATCTTCCATACATATATTTGTTCAATTTGTGAGGAGTGAAATATTTCAAGCTTAGAAATAATTTTAATAGCTGTGGGTTTCGAAGGATGGAAGGATTGTCTTCTTTAATCTGTAAAATTTAGTAAAATTTAAATTTTCTCCTCCAAAATTATCTCTATATTCATATTCATTATTTTCGTTTCTCCCCATTAGTTGAATCAACTCTTTTTCTAGCTTTTCGTTTCTCAACTCATCAAATTCTTTATCTTCCCAAGAGCTATCTTTTAATTTCGGTATATAATATACATCATCATCCTCACTATCAACATCCATGGCTGCAAAATTATGATTAGGTTTATTAATTTTATCTCCTACATCTCCCAAATCAACTGATTTTTCCTCACCTGAAATATGTTTCTCTTCATTTCTGTCCTTACTCCCTTCTACTAAAATTTGGATGATTCTTTCATGATCAGCTGCTACTTCTTTATCTAAGGGCTCTTTCTCCACATCATCCTCACTATATTCATTCATCGATTGTGAGTAATAAATGATTTTATTCAAATTTTCTGCTACTATATTTCTAGCCTTAATATTCTCATCTACTTCTAATGGCTCATCAATTTCTTATAATAATTGGAAATAAGGATCAGGTAAAATATTCTCACTCAATGTATTCACTGTCCTAACATTTTCATTTCGTGGGTTTTTTTCTAAATTTATCCAGCTAGACTCTCTTTGCTGAAATCCTACTGTTGGACAGTTTCCTAAATTTTCTATGGGCTGACTAGGTGGTTGTCCCTCTTCTCTCTTATTCCCAAGAGTTTCTATAATTTGTTTCTAGTGCAGCATCATTTGATTCATAGTTTGTTGCATCATTTGGCTCATTTGCTGCATCATTTCCATAGTATCAGGTTGGGTTTGAGAGGGCTGATTTTTCTGAAATCTATTTTCTTGTTTTAGACGAAATTCAGAGTTTGAATTGGGTCTAAGTGCTTCTGAATTTTGAATATTATTTGGGTCTCTTCATGAAAAATTATTCCTCCAATTAGGATTATAAGAATTTGAAAAAGGTTCTCTATTTCTATTAAAACTGTGAGCTACTTGCACTTGTTCTTGCCTAGGGTGAAATGATTGATCTAAATTATAGCATTAAAATTCAGAATAATCATTTTCACCATACATAGGACATATACTATTTGAATTAAGTTGAGGGTTAAGAGGCTTTCTAATATTGTCAATAAGTAAATCAAGTTTTTCTAATCTTTGATTAATCTGATTAACCTCATTTCTCAATTTAGTCATCATGATGTAATTCATAAATTCCTCTCTTCTTATCTCAATCATAGAATTCAAAAGAGGCTTGATCTCTCGAATTTTCACTTAAATTTTCATAAAGATTGTAAATCTTATCAAGGGTTTTCTCCATAAAAGCTCCACATATAGAATCAACTATATTTCTATGTTGTTCTAATAATCCATCATAAAAAAATTTATTGAGCTGCCACTTGGGTATAGCATGATGAGGACATATTCTACATAAATCTTTGAATTTTTCCCATGTCTCATGCAAAGTTTCTCCTGGTCTTTGAGAAAAATTCCATATATATTTTCTCATATTTTGAGTTTTTCCTAAGGGATAAAATTTTAGAAAAAAAGCCTGTTCTATCTTTCCAGCTAATTAATTCTCTATCTAATGTGGATAGCCAATGGCTAGCTTTGTCCCTAAGTGTATGAGGAAATAATTTCATCTTAATAATTTCTGGTGTAACTTGAGGGAGATTAACTAAATCATAGACCATATAAAATTTTTCTAAGTGCTGATGAGGTTCCTCTAAAGGCAATCCATGAAAATTAGGAAGCATTTGAAAAATTCTTAGATTTATTTCGAATTTAACAGTGGGTGCTAATGGGACTCTAATATTGGATGCTCTTTGAAATGAATTAGGGATATAATAATTTTTCATGGCCATAGGATTGTTCTCAGTTTACTTGTACTTTCTTCAGGATCTATCAAAATTAATTTTTTTCTTTCGGATTTTTAGTTTTAGATGAAATAATGGAAGGATTTTCTAGCCTTGGATGCAAGGATCTTCCACCATGCATAAAAAAAATCAATAAATTTGAGGAAAAAAAATTTAGTAATTGTTACCCTCCTTCAGTATGCTCCAGTCCTTGCCTTGCTTCTTTTTGTTCCCTTTTTCTAAAAAAAAAATTCGGCAAGAAAAAAATAAAACAAGAGTTAATTTTTTTTTTTGTGTGCTCTAAGAGAAAAACAGAAGAATACTAAATGTATGCAATACATCCCCGGCAACGGCGCCAAAATTTGACGTGACTTAGTTGTTGTATATTAAATCACACAAATATAAAATTTATAAAACTAGAAAATATGAATTTTCGGATATTTAGAAGTATTTCTGAACAAATATATCAATTATAATTCAATAAAACTTCCAAAAATAGCAACCATGCCGATCCCAAGGATGTAATATAATATGTGGTAATTATTCAGAATTATCTGCAAAGAATACTATTTTCTATGAATTTTATACTAGAAAATGAAAAGGAAATATATTTAAAATTCACAGAAAAAGAAAATAAGGGTGCGGACGTCAGGATGACGTCAGCGCTCGGCAAACTTGAATCGGGCAGAAACAGAGTTCCACCCGACGATTCTTACGTAAGCGATTACAGACGATTTAATTGATCAAATTAAGATCTGTAAAAGCCGAAAGAATCCTAATTGAATGAAGTATATTTTGGTAAATTAAAATCACATAAATTATCACTAAATGAAGCGTAAAGTAAGGTAAAAGCAGGAAAACAGAGTTCCGGCATCGCGGCAGCGATGCATTGGTGATGCATTGGAATCGTGAGCGTTCGGGAGGATAGTCGTGCAGTGTCTATAGCCTTGAAGGCTCTCCTTGGATAAGGATGATGTGGGCAATCTCTTGATCTCCTTGCAAAGTCTAGAGATCAATGAAATGGGTTGTCGAACCATCTCTGATGGCTATCACCTGGCGGAGCGGAAAAACGGCGACTTTGCGGCTCTCCAGCGGCTGTCACCCGACAGAGAGGAGCTAGATGGAGGTGGGGCGTGTGTCAAGGAGCTTCATCCTCAAGTCCGCGTAGCAAGAGTAGGCTCTTCATCACATCTGGTACGCTCTCAAGAGGTGGCGACTCATCTCCCGGCAGATCGTCCTCTTCCTGACGACAGCTTGTTCGTCGATCAATCGGAGATGCTTTACTCGATAGATTTGCAATTCTTTTATCATGAATCGTTCAGCAATTTTAGTAGCAATGCTTCGCAAATCACGTTGACAAGATTTTCGCCGATGATCCAGTGATTTTTGTTGCTTAATCCTTCAGCGGTGATCTACAGGAAAGTCGCAATAATTAGATAAAAAAATATGAGTTTTGGCTCTAGGAGGATTCGAACCCGCGCCGGTTGCCCCACCCCTTCTGGGAAGGTGACGCGAGTTTAGTCTCACATCGATTGTGCGTCGAATTTTCAGGCAAATATATAGTAATGTTAGATTTCTAAGCAAGTCCCTTTCTCGCGCGTGTATGACCACTCTTTGCCCCATAGCCGGCTGGCCACCGGTGACGTGGAAGGGGAGTGGCACACGCGTGCCCCCATCGATTCAAGCCGCTCGAGCCCCTGCTCACGGCTACTCCCCGACTGCGCTTCCGACCCGCTTGCGGGTCTGGCTGGCCGGCGGGTCCCCCCATTTTACTATATTTTTATTTTAATTTCTTTTCCTTCATTTATCTCAAATATAAGACTGTAAAAATCATATAAAATCACATAATTACCTAAAAATTCACGTTAATCAACTTAAAACCACTTTTCACACTTTAACACAAATATAAGTCTATTTATCATGAGTTAAGGCTAAAACTATACTATTTACTAATTATTAACTCATGATAATGAAGACTTATCAGTCACTCGACGGAGAGGAGCTAGATGGAGGTGGGGCGTGTGTTGTGGAGCTTCATCCTTAGGTCTGTGCAGCAAGAGGAAGCTCTTCATCGCATCCAGTATGCTCTCAAGAGGTGGCGACTCGTCTCCCAGCAGATCGTCCTCTTCTCAACAGCGGCTTGTTCATCGATCAATCAGAGATGATTTACTCGATGGATTCGTGATCCTTTTATCGCGAATCATTTTCAGCAATTTTAGTAACAATGCTTTGCGAATTACGTTGACAAGATTTTTGTCAATGATCTAACTATTTTAGTGGCTTAATCCTTCACTAGTGATCTACAAGAAAGTTGAGATAATCCTTCATTGGGCTCTAGGAGGATTCGAACCCGTGCTGATTGTCTGCCTACATGAGAGAGATTGAAATAAGTACTCTAATACCCTTATCAAGTGACATCATCATAGTATATCTCTATTATAACTAAGGAGTAATTTAGGTATTAAAATCTTCGAAGCCTTTCAAGGGAAGGTGTGATGTGGGTTTAGTCCCGCATCCCTTGTGCACCAAAGTTTTAGGCGAATATATAGTAATATCACATTTACAAGTAATGAGTACTTTTCTCTCACATGTACGACCACTCCTTGTCTCAGACCTAGCTGGCCACCGGTGACGTGGAAGGGGAGTGGCACACACATGCCCCCATTGGTCCTAGTCACCCGAACCCCTGCTCGTGGCTCCCCCCGACTACGCTTCTGACCTGCTTGCAGGCCCGGTTGGCTGGCGGGTCCCCTCTTTTTGCTATATTTTTATTTTAATTTCTTTTTCTTGATTTATCTCAAAAATAGGATTATAAAAATCATATAAATGCATAGAAAATTACTTAATTAGCTAAAAAAATCACATTAATCAATTGAAAACTACTTTTCATAATTTAACAGAAATATAATTTTATTTATCATGAGTTAAGGCTAAAACTATATTATTTACTAATTATTAACTCATGATAATGAAAACTTATCAGTGGTTTCCTATTATGACAAAAAAAGACATTATATTAACAAATAATAAAGGTAAAAATATTTTACTTGAAAATATTATTAATTTACTTAAAAATATTTTACGTGTGCTCTTAAAAAAGTAAAAATCTCATTTTATATGTGTAAAACTATATACAAATTTATATACAACAGATTTTTCTCAAAAACATTTAATAGGGGTTGCATATAGAATTATGTAACTCTTAATTACAATTGTACATTCAACTACAATCAAAATAGATAATAATTTGTTTCAATAAATAGTTTCCATGATTAATTCATCATCCTCATAAATGTGATGGTCAGCACACTTGTTAATACAATAACTTTCCTACTTATACTTAAAGTCCTACTTTAGACAAGAAATTTATTTTCCACTCATCAATGGAATGAATCAAGATTTGACGATGGCTACATTTTGCTTCAAGTTTAGGAAAACATCTAGAGGGTGCAATGTATAAAAGGTATATATGATGATATTCATCCATGTGAATCATATAAGATTTAACTTTGTCAAAATATGCTTTTCAAATTGAAAACATTACAAAGCATAGCTATGTGACTTTTATTTCAAACTCCTCTTTATCTACCCAATCTTCTATGAATTTAGATGTTTCTTAATTTTTAGATCATCACTAAAGAAATCATACTTTTACTATGATGGGAACCAATTATGGCATTACATTACTTTCAGTTTTGGACTACATGTGGTTCTGAGCACATTATGGGGTGGATGTGTGTCCTTTGGTGGACACATAAGCTTCCAATACATAATTATTATTTCTTCATAACTTTACGTATTCTAATAAATAATATTTAATCATAGTAATTAGTAATTATAAATATAACCTAAACTATAAAATTCGTGCCATTTAATCCAATACTTGTAGTGTTCATTTATTTAATGATAAAATTTTTATTTTTGGTAAACTATAGTAATTATTCATTGCAACTAATCATTATGATTGTATGAAATAATATTAGATTTCTTCCCTTTAATACTGTATTTTTATGTGCCAGCTTTCTTATAAAGAAGTAATATTCATTATTTATGCATAAAACTTACATTTATCGGTCTAATAATTGTTTCTGATAATTTGTAAGTGTGAATGTACTTAAACATATTATATTCCTGTACTTAATAGGTTACGTCTAAAGTGGTGCCATTTCCAAGGTGAATAAATAGTAGGTACAAAACATTTCTAAAGTTTAAATGTTGGCAATAAATGATACATATTCCTAGCAAAAGTAACTATTATATAAATATCTACTTATACTCACGCCCTCTAAATGATTGTCTTATATTATTATCATTGATTGATATAGTTTCTCTTTTTGCATAAATATTAATTACACACCTTTATCAATAGTTATGATTACATTAAAAAAAGTATTATATTCATGCCCTTAATATGAGGCTTTTAAACTATCATTTTCTTTATGAATAAATAAGAACAATAATAATAAATAATTTAGTCATGAGATTTATGTTTTCTCAATTGGCACTTTACAGATTTTATTTATATTCTTACATGTACATGGTCATGGTCTGTCATCAATCAAACATTTTATCCGTTTCTTTCTATGACACTCATCTTCTTCATGATTTACCTGCAATCTTCCACGTTTTTGGTGAACCTGTTGGAAACATGGTCAGCCTATTTAACAACAGATGATAGAGCCATGAAAAAGAGATAAAACCATCTGACATAAAATAAAAATATGCGAGGTAATTTCAGTGATGTCATGTTTGCAACCACCTTCAAAATTGCATCAATCCGAATGGTCTTTAACAGGGTGCAGGGGGGGCATATCAAGCTTCCAAAAAGAGAAATGAGCTTCGAGTAGGTGGGCTGCTCAACAAATTGTATCTTCTTCACTGCTTCAAGGAATTGTGCGAAAGGAGGGGGACAGCCACCACACAGCGTCTCGGGGGAGGTTACAGTCTTGTTCATGAAGACTAGAAACCTCTTGTCATTCCCCTACATAGTTGGCATAAGAATCAGCAAGTGATGAATCAAAGAGATGGGAGAACATGTACAAGTAGAGGTGGAAGCAAACCTGATAGCCTTCCCACGGCAGCCTTCCTTTAATCAAAAAAATCAGAGTGTAGGCCAATGACTCAAGATCATCTCTTCTACTCGCTGTGAGGCCTAAATGTGCATGGACGCTTGCATATCGTGTTGTGCCCCTAGGGAACATGAGATAGATAGTAAGGTAGGGGTAAGATTTTATGAATCCTCATCTTAGCTAAGAATTTAGGGAAAAAATAGAATATCGTTTCCCAAAAAACCTGAAATTATCTGGCTGTTGGCATAATCTGACATGCTGGCCTGACAAACTGTCCCTCCACATTGAAGCTGATTAAAATATTAATGACACCAATTAGCATTTGTACAGGCTCTGAACAAAGCACAAAAATATCACTGATGTTGATACAGACAGGGACTTCTCAGTCAAGACAAATTTGTTTATATACTTGGAAAAACAAACCCTACTCTAAAATCAATAGGCACGAGAGGTGAAAACAAGAAGTGATTGGAATGCAGCAACATACCCAGCCCAAAGTCGATGAGAAAAAGCTTCTTCTCCCCTGAGCTTCCGGGTTTACCCAACAATAAATTCTCTGGCTTGACGTCTCCATGCACAAACCTGGCATGTTTTTTTTTTGTGTGGGTGGAGGGAGGGAGTGCACAAGGGAGCAATGAATTAATTACTGTGACCTTTGCGAAAATATAATTGAAAAAATATCACACTGCCACAAAGCCATACATACCCTTTTTGGTGTAGCTTCTCAAGGATGGATATTGCCTCCACAGCAATACAAGCCACCATATTTGGTGGCATTCTGTCCAAGGAGTTAGTCAAACTCAATAGCACAATTTTCAACAGAATATTGACTTTGAATATGAAGTCAAGATTATTTTCTTACACTTGCCCAATGGATATGAACACATCCAGAAGACTTGGTCCAAGGATGTCCATGATCTGCAGCAATCATCATCAACAATATCATAACTAGCTTTCAATAAAAAATATAATTCGAGGAAACAATAAAATGAAAGACTCTACGCCAACCATGACGAAATAATCTCCTTGGCGGCCCTTGTAGTGCACCCTAGGTAATCCATAGCATCCCTTGAGATGGCTAAAACCATATTCACAAAGTCAGGTGAAGAACATAGTTTTAGATCGACACAATACGTAATAAATTAGAGCAGTAGGGGGTGTCTTCTTACTCATAAACTTGCCATTCATATGGGGGGCCAAATCTGCAACCCGTGCTATTTCTATGCTCAAACTTCAGTGCTACCTACACCCACCGCAGGAAAATGAAAGAGACAACATAAAACAGCAGTATTTAAAGATTCCCGTGGCAGGAGTGATGGGAGGTTGAAACTAAACCTTAAAGGCATTGGGCCCATTGCCCTGAGATCCACCAGCCACCCTTCGTCCAATGTAGACCAGCCCAAAACCTCCTGCTCCCAACATTCTCTCTACCTTGTATAATGGAGAATTTCCGACCTGCACCTGTCGATTTTGGATAGGACATTCCTATTGTCAAGATGTGATGTGCTTTGGGATGGGGAGAGAAAGCTCTCTACAGTCGCCGTCAAGGAAAGGAATGAGGGACGTCGAAGCATGTACCCGATCCGGGATGGGAGACATCCTCGCTTCCTCCTGTAGCCCGACAACCTCGTCCACACTTCCTCCCTCGATTCCAGCTGCTTTCTCAACAGGACAGCCCGCCACCAAGTTCTGATGGCTTTTCTGGGTGGGGAATAACGCTCGGGAGAGGTGCAGGTACGGAGGGTGTTGTTTCCTGCCGGAAATCACCGGGTTCTTCTCCAGACCCTGGTCGATCGCTCAGCGATCTGAAAATCGAATGTGCCCCTTGATTCAACACGCTCACCCGTCACCGTCAATCGATAAACCTTGCTGAAATAATCTTTTCTCCTCCAGACTGTAACACTCATCCGTCCCCAAAGAGCAATCTGATGGAAGTCTAAAGAAGAAGATAGATCCCCCTACCCAGACCAAACATCAAATCGAATCAGCAACGAAGCGGCAAAACAAATCGGAAGAAAGTAAATAAATAAGAGGAAGGAGGAAAGCCAGAGCTTTCTTCAGCAATCTCGCACCACCCGCACCACCGCAGGCAACCGAAAGTCCAAATCAAAGAAAATAAAGATCCCATCGAAAGAGTCCACAAGAAGATGCCCCCGACACAGAGAAAATCACGAACCCATCGAAAGACGGCACTAGAACATAACCCCCGAATCAACGAAAGGCGAGAATTCGTCGAAAGACGGCACCAGAACATACCCGGAGCGGCCTTTCAGGGAAGCAGAAGCCTGGGAACGTACGACCTCTCCGTGAGGCGGCGCCGACCGTGACCTCGGCGTCTTCGGCGGTGGACTCCTCCACCGGATGCGGCCTCCCACTCTTCCTCCGGATTCGCGCACGAGAAAGGGATCCAGAAGAACTCGACGGAGAGGAGAGGAGAAGGCGGCCGGCTGTCCGAACTCCGCCGTGCTTCGTAGAGCGAGGACGCATCCACAGAAAGAAAGCGAGAGCAAGATAGAGTGAGAGAGAGCAGACAGACAAAGGGAGCGAGAAAAGGCGCGAAAGAAAGAGAGATCAATGACAGCCTCACTCTATCACCCGCTCCTCTTTTACGTTCTGCCATTAGGTACGGATCTCCAATTACATTTCTCTCTGGGGTCTGACGTAAATTGTGCCAATTTCTGTTCACGATGTCCATTGAAATGTCGTCGAATCCGTGTGGGCCACGTGTCCCACATCTGCTTAAGTCTCATGCTAACTCGTCGGTTCTGCTTCCACTGTCGACCTGTTGATGGTTTCTTTTAGCCTCTGAATATTCCGGCCCATTGGGTCACTTGGCTCGGCCCAGCCCAACTCATTCTGATTTTCTTTTATTTTAGACCTTTATTAATTCCTAAAAAATATCAAAAACTCTTAGAAATTATGAGAAATTCTAGAAAAATTCAGAAAATCCAGAATAAATTCTAGAAAATCCTAAAACTCACATAAAAAATATTTCATGCATAATTATTTAAAATTAATTATCTTAAAATAATATTAAAAATATTAAAATGCATGTTTATGTATGAATGAAATCTGAATACGTACGAATTAAATGTAACATGTATAATTTCTATTAATTTTATGCACTAAATATTGATAAATATAAGGTAAATACAGATAATGAAGACTTATCAACCACAACATAATAACTAGACTAAGATGATCTAGTTCAATCGTTTTCGTCCACAATATACTATCATTAGCCATTTATTGTCGCACCACATACCCATGAATACAACCTAAAACTCCTTCATACTTCAAAGAATAATGATCATGGTAAAGAATTCACCTATCTTTTTTTCATGAGATCCACACCCCTAATCTAGAGAAGGTAAACTTTTCTAATTGACTTACCCTTTCAAAGGAGCATTAGGCTTTGTTCGTTTAAGCATACGTGTTTGTGCAATAATCAATGCAGCAAAAGTTTTAAAATATTCATAACATTTTTGAATTTTTTTTGTTCTCCCCCCTACTTGAATGATGCATTATCTCTAATGCATGCAAATGAAGGAAGAGATAACCTCCCCCCTACTTAAGTCTTGCATTGTTCTTAATGCATGTGAGAGAAGGGAAAAGAGAAGAAAATTCTGATTTTTATGCCCCATCTACTACACCATTGCCCCTGAATGGTTCTAACTAAAGCACTCGACCAATAAAATATGTCTAAAACAAAAGCTAGTAAGGAAATGCATAAAAAAAAATGATAGTTCTCCTCAAGATAAATTATGTGCATACACACAAATAGATCAAGTCCTCAAATATCTACTAGAGACCAGCCAATCACCTCTCTCTATGTACTAAGCACATCAAGTAATCTATTCCCTTGATCCTTAGACAAATACGATGATATAATCATTGGATAAGCTTGATGTCAATCAAAAAATACATACTTTAGTGAAGATGGTTGATAAGTCTTCATTATCATGAGTTAATAATTAATTAATAATATAGTTTTAATCTTAACTCATGATAAATAGACTTATATTTATGTCAAATTATGAAAAATAGTTTTTAGTTGGTTAATTTGGCTAATTATGGGATCTTATGTGAATTTATATAATTTTTATAATCTGATTTTTGAGGTAAATGAAGAAAAAAAAAAAAAAGATAGAAGAAAGAGGAAACTTGCCGCCTAGTCGAACCCACAAGCAGGTTGGAAGCATAGACAGGCGGAATCGTGAGTAAGGGCTTGAGCAGCTAAAGACGGACCGATAGGTGACACATTTGTGTCACTCCCCTTCCACATCATTAATGGCCAGTCAGGCATGCGACAAAGAGCGGCCGTACACATGTGAGAAAGGGACACATTGATTATCAAGTCTAGTATTACTATATATCAACCTCAAAACTCGGAATATAATTAAATGTGGGACTAAACCTGGGGTCACAGTCTCCGAAAAGTTTTAATAATTTTAATACCTAAAATATCCCTTGTTTAGTAAACCACACAAATTTAAAATTTATAAAACTAGAAAATACTAATATTTAGATATTTAGAAGTATTTTTGAATAATTATACCAATTATAATTTAATCAAAGTTCTAAAAATAATGGAGATTTTTTAGGTCAATCACAGGGATGTAATATAATATCACGTAATATTTTAGAAATGTTCTCAAATAATACGATTTTTTATGAATTTTAAACTAAAAAAAAGAAAAGAAAATATATTTTAAATTTGTGAAAAAGGGAAATAAAGGTGTAGATGTCAAGATGATGTCAGCACCTAACGAATGGGAACCGGGTAGAAATAGCATTCTACTTGGTGATTTTTACATAAGTGATTATAGACGATTTAATTAGTCAAATTAAGATCTGTAAAAGCTAGAAGAATCGTTACAAGAAGTATTTTGCAAGTCTTGTTGATCCTAATTTCACATGTGGAAGCCCCACGAAATCAGCTAAGGTGCTACTACGATTTTTTTATTTTTTTTTCTAGTGTAATCTTTACCATGTTCTATCCTTTTGTCTCAGGTTTAATCATGATTAATGATTTGTAAAAGCATCAACTAATTTGAAAACTTTTCAACCGACTACTGATCAAGAAAGAGAAGGATTCAATTTACTACTCATAGTTAATAATAAGAATTCATAACATAAATCCGGCAGAAGATCAAAGTAGATTTTCTCAATTTAAGAGTGTGGGTTATATGCACCATGAAAGATCATGAACTTCATCATTTAGTTTATAAGCATTATAGCACCTGATGTAATCTCATGTATTCACCCTCATGCATTTATTCTTCCCCCCCAAACAACCATTCGCATTGTCCTCAATGCATCTATATAAGAGAAAAAAGAGAAAGCATTAAGTGTGCAAACTGATTTTCACTCTTCATCCTTCTGATTTTCTTTTGTATTAATCTGTGTCATGATATGCACTTCCTCTAGAATGCTGGATCTGTTCGCTTAATAAAAACTCAAGAAAAACATCAAAGGATAGAGAAAAATAATAAAAAAGGAATGTAGTGGAAAAGAATCTAGATGATTATTCTTGGATGATTATTGATAATTGGAACATCTTGTAAATATTTCTATGAGTGAAGAAGTGATAAAGATGAGAATAGAAGAAGTGAAGTCTAGATTGTTATTCCAAGGAGTGCTTAAACATTTAAGTGCTTGACATCACCTCCCTCCTACTTAAGTCTTGCATTGTCCTTAATGCATGTGAGAGAAGGGAAAAGAGAAGAAAATTCTGATTTTTATGCCCCATCTACTACACTATTGCCCCTGAACGGTTCTAACTAAAGCACTCGACCAATAAAATATGTCTAAAACAAAAGCTAGTAAGGAAATGCATAAAAAGAAATGATAGTTCTCCTCAAGATAAATTATGTGCATACACACAAATAGATCAAGTCCTCAAATATCTACTAGAGACCAGCCAATCACCTCTCTCTATGTCCTAAGCACATCAAGTAATCTATTCCCTTGATCCTTAGACAAATACGATGATATAATCATTGGATAAGCTTGATGTCAATCAAAAAATACATACTTTAGTGAAGATGGTTGATAAGTCTTCATTATCATGAGTTAATAATTAATTAATAATATAGTTTTAATCTTAACTCATGATAAATAGACTTATATTTATGTCAAATTATGAAAAATAGTTTTTAGTTGGTTAATTTGGCTAATTATGGGATCTTATGTGAATTTATATAATTTTTATAATCTGATTTTTGAGGTAAATGAAGAAAAAAAAATAAAAAGATAGAAGAAAGAGGAAACTTGCCGCCTAGTCGAACCCACAAGCAGGTTGGAAGCATAGACAGGCGGAATCGTGAGTAAGGGCTTGAGCAGCTAAAGACGGACCGATAGGTGACACATTTGTGTCACTCCCCTTCCACATCATTAATGGCCAGTCAGGCATGCGACAAAGAGCGGCCGTACACATGTGAGAAAGGGACACATTGATTATCAAGTCTAGTATTACTATATATCAACCTCAAAACTCGGAATATAATTAAATGTGGGACTAAACCTGGGGTCACAGTCTCTGAAAAGTTTTAATAATTTTAATACCTAAAATATCCCTTGTTTAGTAAACCACACAAATTTAAAATTTATAAAACTAGAAAATACTAATATTTAGATATTTAGAAGTATTTTTGAATAATTATACCAATTATAATTTAATCAAAGTTCTAAAAATAATGGAGATTTTTTAGGTCAATCACAAGGATGTAATATAATATCACGTAATATTTTAGAAATGTTCTCAAATAATACGATTTTTTATGAATTTTAAACTAAAAAAAAGAAAAGAAAATATATTTTAAATTTGTGAAAAAGGGAAATAAAGGTGTAGATGTCAAGATGATGTCAGCACCTAACGAATGGGAACCGGGTAGAAATAGCATTCTACTTGGTGATTTTTACATAAGTGATTATAGACGATTTAATTAGTCAAATTAAGATCTGTAAAAGCTAGAAGAATCGTTACAAGAAGTATTTTGCAAGTCTTGTTGATCCTAATTTCACATGTGGAAGCCCCACGAAATCAGCTAAGGTGCTACTACGATTTTTTTATTTTTTTTTCTAGTGTAATCTTTACCATGTTCTATCCTTTTGTCTCAGGTTTAATCATGATTAATGATTTGTAAAAGCATCAACTAATTTGAAAACTTTTCAACCGACTACTGATCAAGAAAGAGAAGGATTCAATTTACTACTCATAGTTAATAATAAGAATTCATAACATAAATCCGGCAGAAGATCAAAGTAGATTTTCTCAATTTAAGAGTGTGGGTTATATGCACCATGAAAGATCATGAACTTCATCATTTAGTTATAAGCATTATAGCACCTGATGTAATCTCATGTATTCACCCTCATGCATTTATTCTTCCCCCCCAAACAACCATTCGCATTGTCCTCAATGCATCTATATAAGAGAAAAAAGAGAAAGCATTAAATGTGCAAACTGATTTTCACTCTTCATCCTTCTGATTTTCTTTTGTATTAATCTGTGTCATGATATGCACTTCCTCTAGAATGCTGGATCTGTTTGCTTAATAAAAACTCAAGAAAAACATCAAAGGATAGAGAAAAATAATAAAAAAGGAATGTAGTGGAAGAGAAAGCTATGCTATCTTAGAGTACATGGTGGAGGGGAAGTTATAAGAAGATTGAGGTTCAATGGATGGATCATATAATTGAGCGGAAATGGGTAAAGAAGGAGGGTTCGTTTCTAAATAAGGTTTTAATCTTTGCCCATTCACATTAAAATTTTTACCAGTTTTAAGATCTGCAATTAATATTGCACCACAGTCAAAAACTTTAATCACAAGGTATGGTCCATCCCATCTAGAGTTTAATTTTTCGAGGAATATTTTCAATCGAGAATTGTAAAGCAAAACTTTTTGATGCTCATGAAAACTCTTTCTGCTCACCTTCTTGTTATAAAAAGCCTTCATTTTTGCTCTGTAAATTAGAGACTTCTCATACATCTCATTGGGTAGTTCTTGAAGCTCTTGCAACTGCAACATACGGTGCTTACCAACGGCGTCTAAAGAGAGATAAGATTCTTTATAGCCTAATAAGCCTTATGTTCGATCTTCATAGGAAGGTGACAAACCTTTTGATGCGACTTAGTCGTTGTATTGTAAATCACGGAAATTTAAAAATTATAAAACTAGAAAATACTAATTTTTAGATATCTAGAAATATTTCTGAAAAAATATATCAATTATAATTTAATAAAATTTACAAAAATAGTAGTAATTTTCCATGTCGATCACAAGGATATAATATAATATTGGGTAACTTTTTAGTATATTCCTCAAAGATTATATTTTTTAATTAATTTTATACTAAGAAATAAAAATAAAATATATTTAAAATTCGTGAAAAAAGGAAATAAGGGTGCGGATGTTAGGATGATGTCAACATCCGACAAACGCGAATCAACAGAAATAGAGTTCCACCTAGTGATTCTTGCATAAGCGATTACAGATGATTTAATTGATCAAATTAAGATCTGTAAAAGATGGAAGAATCGTAATTGAATGAAATATAGCTTGGTAAATTTAAATCACACAAATTATTAGTAATGAAGTACAAATTAAGTTGAAAGTAGAAACATAAAGTTCCAGCATCGCGGCGGTAATCTATCGACGATGCACGGGAATTCTGAGCATTCGAGAAGATTGTCATGTAGTGTCCACGGCCTCAAACGCTCTCTTTGGACAAAGATGACATGGGCAATCTGTAGATATCCTTGCGAAGTTTAGAGATCAATGAAATGGGTCGTCGAATCGTCTCCAGTAGTTGTCACTCGGAGGAGTGAAAAAATGATGACTTTGTGGCTCTCTAATGGTTGTCACTGACGTGACTTAGTCATTGTATATTAAATCACACAAATATAAAATTTATAAAACTAAAAAATATGAATTTTTAGATATTTAGAAGTATTTCTGAACAAATATATCAATTATAATTTAATAAAAATTTCCAAAAATAGCAGTAATTTTCCAAGTCAATCACAAAGATGTAATATAATATTTGGTAATTATTCAGAATTTTCAGCAAAGAATACTATTTTTTATAAATTTTATACTAGGAAATGAAAAACAAATATATTTAAAATTTACGGAAAAAGGAAATAAGGGTGCAGACATCAAGATGACGTCAACACCCGACGAACGCGAATTGGGCGAAAATAGAGTTCCGCTCAGCACGATTCTTATGTAAGTGATTATAGACGATTTAATTGATCAAATTAAGATTTGTAAAAGCAAGAAGAATTGTAATTGAACGAAGTATATTTTGGTAAATTAAAATCACACAAATTATCACTAAATGAAGCGTAAAGTAAGGTGAAAGAAGGAAAATAGAGTTCCAGCGTCGCGACGGCGATACGTCGGCGATGCACCAGAATCTTGAGTGTTCGAGAGGATAGTCATGCAGTGTCCATGGCCTCAAAGGCTCTCCTTGGACAAGGACGATGTGGGCAATCTCTAGATCTCCTTACGAAGTCTAGAGATCAATGAAATGAGTCGTCAAATCATCTCCGGTGGCTGTCACCCGGCGGAGCAAAAAAACGGCGACTTTGTGACTCTCCGGCGACTGTCACCCGACGGAGAGGAGCTGGATGGAGGTGGGGCGTGTGTCAGGGAGCTTCATCCTCAAGTCCGCACTGCAAGAGGAGGCTCTTCATCACATCTAGTATGCTCTCAAGAGGTGGCGACTTGTCTCCTGGCGGATCGTCTTCTTCCTGACGACGGCTTGTTCGTCGATCAATCAGAGATGCTTTACTCGATGGATTCACGATCCTTGTATCGCAAATTGACGTGACTTAGTCATTGTATATTAAATCATGCAAATCTAAAATTTATAAAACTAGAAAATACAATTTTTCAGATATTTAGAAGTATTTCTGAACAAATATATCAATTATAATTCAATAAAACTTTCAAAAATAGTAATAATTTTCCAGGTCGATCATAGGGATGTAATATAATATTTGGTAATTATTCAGATTTTTTTCTCAATGAATACGATTTTCTATGAATTTTATACTAGGAAATGAAAAGGAAATATATTTAAAATTCACAAAAAAAGGAAATAAGGGTGCAGACGTCAAGATGATGTCAGCGCCCGGCGAACGCGAATCGGGCGGAAACAGAGTTCTGCCCAGCGATTCTTACATAAGCGATTACAGACGATTTAATTGATCAAATTAAGATTTGTAAAAGCCGAAAGAATTGTAATTGAACGAAGTATATTTTGGTAAATTAAAATCACACAAAGTATTACTAAATGAAGTGTAAATTAAGTTTGAAAGTAGAAAATAGAGTTCCGGCGTCGCGGCGGCGATGCGTCGGCGATGCACCGGAATCTTAAGTGTTCGGGAGGATCGTCGTGCAGTGTCCACGGCCTCAAAGGCTCTCCTTGGACAAAGACGACATGGGCAATCTCTAGATCTCCTTGCGAAGTCTAGAGATTAATGAAATGGGTCATCGACTCGTCTCCGGTGGCTGTCACCCGGCAGAGTGGAAAAATGGCAACTTTGTGGCTCTTCGGCGGCTGTCACTCGACGAAGAGGAGCTGGATGGAGGTGGGGTGCGTGTCAGGGAGCTTCATCTTCAAGTCTGCGCAGCAAGAGGAGGCTCTTCATCACATCTAGTACGCTCTCAGGAGGTGACGACTTGTCTCCCGGCGGATCGTCCTCTTCCCGACGACGGCTTGTTCGTCGATCAATCGGAGATGCTTTACTCGGTGGATTCACGATCCTTTTATTGTGAATCGTTCAGCAATTTTAGTAACAATGCTCCGTAAATCGTGTTGATGAGATTTTTGCCGATGATCCAGCGATTCTGGTTACTTAATTCTTCACTGGCGATCTGCAGGAAAGTCGCGATAATCAGATAAAAAAAGATGAGTTTTGGCTCTGGTAGGATTTGAACCCACATCAGTTGCCTGCCCTTTTTGGGGAAGGTGACGCGGGTTTAGTCCCACATCGGCTGTGCGCCGAAGTTTCTGGCGAATATAAAGTAATATTACATTCCCGATCAAGCGTGCGTGTACGACCACTCCTTGCCCCACAGCCGGCTGGCCACCGGTGACGTGGAAGGGGAGTGGCGTAAACGTGCCCCCATCGGTTCAAGCCGCTCGAGCCCCTGCTCGCGGCTATTTCCCAACTGCACTTCCGACCCGCTCGCGGGTCCGGTTGGCTGGCAGGTCCCCCCATTTTGCAATATTTTTATTTTTATTTCTTTTTCTTCATATATCTCAAAAGTAAGATTGTAAAAATCATATAAATTCGTATAAAATCACATAATTACCTAAAAAATCACATTAATCAACTGAAAACCACTTTTCACACTTTAACACAAATATAAGTCTATTTATCATGAGTTAAGGCTAAAACTATATTATTTACTAATTATTAACTCATGATAATGAAGACTTATCACGAATCGTTCAGCAATTTTAGTAACAATGCTCTGTGAATCGCGTTGACGAGATTTTTGCCGATGATCCAGCGATTCTGGTTGCTTAATCCTTCACCGGCGATCTATAGGAAAGTCACGATAATCAGATAAAAAAGATGAGTTTTGGCTCTAGGAGGATTCGAACCCACGCTAGTTGCCCCACCCCTTCTAAGAAGGTGACGCAGGTTTAGTTCCACATCGGTTGTGTGCCGAATTTTCAGACAAATATATAATAATGTTAGATTTCTAAGCAAGTCCCTTTCTCGCGTGTGTCCCCCATCGGTTCAAGCCGCTCGAGCCCCTGGTCGCGGCTACTCCTCGATTGCACTTCCGACCCGCTTGCCCTGGCTGGCCGGCGGGTCCCCCCATTTTGCTATATTTTTATTTTAATTTATTTTCCTTTATTTATCTCAAAAGTAAGATTATAAAAATCTTATAAAATCACATAATTACCTAAAAATTCACGTTAATCAACTGAAAACCACTTTTCACACTTTAACACAAATATAAGTCTATTTATCATGAGTTAAGGCTAAAACTATATTATTTACTAATTATTAACTCATGATAATGAAGACTTATCACACCCCCCAACTTAAATCATTGCTAGTCCCTTAGCAATGGAATTACGAAAATAAAAATTTACAAATCTCAAACATCATATTTCAATACATAAAAAAAATACAATTAGAAATGATGCACCTTTTGACACTTTGGACTCTTATATCAAGTATTTAAGAATGATGTCAAGCACTTAGATGTTTAAGTACTCCTTGGAATAACAATCTAGACTTCACTTCTTCTATTCACATCTTTATCAATTCTTCACTCATAGATATATTTACAAGATGTTCCAATTATCAATAATCATCCAAGAATAATATTGACCCTACATTTTCCTTTTTCTACGGCTTGATTTTTGAAGTGTGCACTATATTTCTTCCTTCTTTTTTTTTTTTGATATATATAGTGGATAAGTAGCTTTTCCTGTAGACAAATTTCGACAATAAGAATGATGTCTCACACCCTCCATGTGTACTCTTCATTTTCAAGGCTTTCACTTTATCCACTTATTTTGCAGCAAGTGTTTTTCTATACACGATTTTCGACAATGAGAATGATGTCTCATACCCTCTATGTGTACTCTTTGTTTCTAGATTTTTCACATTGCTCCCTCTTTTTTTTCGAAATAAGTGATTTCTCCTCACAAGTCCTATTGATCAGGGTGCAAAAATCTCTATTAAACTCAAATGATCAATCAAATTTTCACATCAAGTAAATACTATCCATCAAGATCATGAAGTGAAAATCTGTAAAATCAAATCCATGTTATCTATCATGTATCCAAGGAGTATTCCAACATTTCATGCTACTAGATCATTCTTTTGACTCAATAATAATCTTCCTAGTATCTTTTGGTATCAATCAATCTAATTGATTTAATTTTTTATGCATGCAATATGATGTAAGAAATTTGTAAATTAGATAGTTCTGACAATTCTATTTTTTGTTTTCAGTTCTATTTTTAGCAACAATAAATTTGTCAAAAATAAATCAAAACTATCCTCTTTATAGCTGTAATTTCGAATTTCAGTAATATATGTCTAGGGGATTGAAATGTGAGAAAAGGGTCTCTAGAATTTCAAGTTTCGGGCTGGTTTTTGTCTGCTGTTTTTGATAGTCTCTTGTTCCTGACAGAAAATCAGAAAATAGATGTTGCAGTCTTTCCGAATTTTATTTATTATTATTATTTTTTAAGTTGCTGTTCTAATGCAAACACATGTACTTAATCATCCTACAGCATAAATTAATAATGAATACTTCCCCCCCAACTTAAAAATGACATTGTCCTCAATGACACAGAAAATCGAAACAGAATATGCAGAAAATATAATTTTCAAGTGAAGCATGCATATGTGCAAAGTTAAGCATTAAAAATATTTTCATAAATGATAAAGCTTAGAAAGACATCACCCCAACCTCGTTTTTAATTTTCCACTTCATCTTACACTCCTCCTCCTGCACTTTTTCGAAAAAACAAATACAGAAACAAGTACTACAAAATTCTAAGAAAAACAGAGCTTAGAAAAAAATCAAACAGAATAAAATAAAAATGATGGGTTGCCTCCCATGCAGCACTGGATTTAATGTCTTCAGCTGGACAGCTCTTAGATCATATAAGATGGATCTATGGCCATCAAAATATATTTGTATCCCAAGGTAAGTTTCATGATATTTCTTTTCAGATTTAGCATAAATTCATTTCCCAAAAATAATATTTCTATTTTGAAAAGAATCTTTCCTCATTTCTATCTTGTTTTGTAAGGCTCTCATTCATTAATAAATACTTTCTATTAATAGACCATAAAATGTGATCAGGCCATATAATTTTCAAATTAGCTCTTACCCAATCTAAATTCTTTTCATCTAAATTGATATCTCTAATTCTTCCACTCACCCATTTCTTAATGTCTTCTTTTATCTGCATAATCTTCCCCTGCTCCATTTTATCTTCCATACATATTTGTTCAATTTGCGAGGAGTGAAATATTTCAAGCTTAGAAATAATTATAATGGGCTGTGGGCTTTGAAAGATGGAAGGATTGTCTTCTTTAATCTCAGATCTAACGAATTCAGTAAAATTCAAATTTTCTCCTCCAAAATTATCTCTATATTCATATTCATTATTTTCATTTCTCCCCATTAGTTGAATCAACTCTTTTTCTAACTTTTCATTTCTCAACTCATCAAATTCTTCATCTTCCCAAGAGCTATCTTTTAATTTCGGTATATGATATACATCATTATCCTCACTATCAACATCCATGGCTGCAAAATTATGATTGGTGATAAGTCTTCATTATCATGAATTAATAATTAGTAAATAATATAGTTTTAGCCTTAACTCATGATAAATAGACTTATATTTGTGTTAAAGTGTGAAAAGTGGTTTTCAGTTGATTAATGTGATTTTTTGGGTAATTATGTGATTTTATACGAATTTATATGATTTTTATAGTCTTAGTTTTGAGATAAATGAAGAAAAAGAAATAAAACTAAAAATATTGTAAAATGGGGGGACCCACCGACCAGCCGGGCCCGCAAGCGGGTTGGAAGCGTAGTCGGGGAGTAGCTGCGAGTAGGGGCTCGAACGGCGTGAACCGATGATGTGGGCACGTGTGCGCCACTCCCCTTCCACGTCACCGGTGGCCAGCCGACTGTGGGGCAAAGAGTGGTCGTACATGCGCGGTTGATTGGGAATGTAATATTACTTTATATTCGCTAGAAACTTCGGCGCACAACCGATGTGGGACTAAACCCGCGTCTTCTTCCCCAAAAAAGGCGGGGCAACCGGCGCAAGTTCGAATCCTCCCAGAGCCAAAACTCATATTTTTATCTGATTATCGTGACTTTCCTGCAGATCGCCGGTGAAGGATTAAGCAACAAAAATCACTAGATCATCGGCGAAAATCTCGTCAACGCAATTCGCGGAGCATTGTTACTAAAATTACAGAAAGATTCGCGATAAAAGGATCGTGAATCCATCGAGTAAATCATATCTGATTGATCGACGAACAAGCCATCGTTGGGAAGAGGACGATCTGTTGGGAGACGAGTCGCCACCTCCTGAGAGCGTACCAGATGCGATGAAGAGCCTCCTCTTGCTGCGCGGACCTGAGGATGAAGCTCCTTGACACGTGCCCCACCTCCATCTAGCTCCTCTCCATCGGGTGACAGCCGCCGGAGAGCCGCAAAGTCGCCATTTTTCCGCTCTGTCGGGTGACAGCTGTTGGAGACGACTCGACGACCCATTTCATTAATCTCTAGACTTCACAAGGAGATCTAGAGATTGCCCACATCGTCCTTGTCCAAGGAGAGCCTTCGAGGCCGTGGACACTACACAACTATCCTCCCGAATGCTCAGGATTCCGGTGCATCGCCGACGCATCGCCGCCGCGACGCCGGAACTCTATTTTCTTGCTTTCAAACTTAATTTACGCTTCATTTAGTGATACTTTGTGTGATTTTAATTTACCAAAATATACTTCGTTCAATTACGATTCTTCTAGCTTTTACAGATCTTAATTTGATTAATTAAATCGTTTGTAATCGCTTACGTAAGAATCGCCGGGTGGAACTCTGTTTCCGCTCGATTCGCGTTCGTCGAGCACTGACGTCATCCTGACGTCTACACCCTTATTTCCTTTTTTCGTGAATTTTAAATATATTTCCTTTTCATTTCCTAGTGTAAAATTCATAGAACATTGTATTCATTCAGAAAAAATCTGAATAATTACCAAATATTATATTACATCCTTGTGATTGACCTGGAAAATTATCGCTATTTTTGGAAGTTTTATTGAATTATAATTGATATATTTTTTCAAAAATACTTCTACATATCTAAAAAATTGTATTTTCTAGTTTTATAAATTTTAGATTTGCGTGATTTAATATACAACGACTGAGTCACGTCAATTAGGTTTATTAATTTTGTCTCCTACATCTCCCAAATCAACTGATTTTTCCTCACTTGAAATATGTTTCTCTTCATTTCTGTCCTTACTCCCTTCTACTAAAATTTGGATGATTCTTCCATGATCAGCTGCTATTTCTTCATCTAAGGGCTCTTTCTCCTCATCATCCTCACTATATTCATTCATCAGTTGTGAGCAATAAATGATTTTATTCAATTTTTCTACTACTATATTTCCAGCCTTAATATTCTCATTTACTTCTAATGGCTCATCAATTTCTTCTAATAATTGGAAATATGGATCAAGTAAAATATTCTCACTCAATGTATTCACTGTCCTAAAATTTTCATTTCGTGGTTTTTTTTCTAAATTTATCCCGCTAGACTCTCCTTATTGAAATCCTACTATTGGACAATTTCCTAAATTTTCTATAGGCTGATTAAGTGGTTGTCCCTCTTCTCTCTTATTCCCAAAAGTTTCTATAATTTATTTCTAGTGCAGCATCGTTTGATTCATAGTTTGTTGCATCATTTGGCTCATTTGCTGCATCATTTCCATAGTATCAGGTTGGGTTTGAGAGGGCTGATTTTTCTGAAATCTGTTTTCTTGTTTTAGACGAAATTTAGAGTTTGAATTGGGTCTAAGTGCTTCTGGATTTTGAATATTATTTGAGTCTCTCTATGAAAAATTATTCCTCTAATTAGGATTATAAGAATTTGAAAAAGGTTTCCTATTTCTATTAAAACCGTGAGCTACTTGCACTTGTTCTTGCCTAGGGTGAAATAATTGATCTAAATTATAGCATTGAAATTCAGAATAATCATTTTCACCATACATAGGACATGTACTATTTGAATTAAATTGAGGGTTAAGAGGCTTTCTAATATTGTCAATAAGTAAATCAAGTTTTTCTAATCTTTGATTAATCTGATTAACTTTATTTCTCAATTTAGAATCATCATCATGATGCAATTCATAAATTCCTCTCTTCTTATCCCTGTCATATAATTCAAAAGAGGCTTGATCTCTAGAATTTTCACTTAAATTTTCATAAAGACTGTAAATCTCATTAGGGGTTTTCTCCATAAAAGCTCCTCCACATATAGAATCAACCATATTTCTATGTTGTTCTAATAATCCATCATAAAAAATTCTATTGAGCTGCCACTTGGGTATAGCATGATGAGGACATATTCTAAGTAAATCTTTGAATTTTTCCCATGTCTCATGCAAAGTTTCTCCTGGTCTTTGAGAAAAATTCCATATATGTTTTTTCATATTTTAAGTTTTTCCTAAGGGATAAAATTTTTGAAGAAAAGCCTGTTCTATGTCTTTCCAGCTAGTTAATTCTCTATCTAATGTGGATAGCTAATGGCTAGCTTTGTCCCTAAGTGTATGAGGAAATAATTTCATCTTAATAATTTACGGTGTAACTTGAGGGAGGTTAACTAAATCACAAATCATATAAATTTTTTCTAAGTGCTGATGAGGCTCCTCTAAAGGCAATCCATGAAAATTAGGGAGCATTTGAAAAATTCCTGGATTTATTTCAAATTTAATAGTGGGTGCTAATGGGACTTTAATATTGGATGCTCTTTGAAATGAATCAGGGATATAATAATTTTTCATGGCCATAGGATTGTTCTCAGTTTGACCTGTACTTTCTTCAAGATCTATCAAAATTAATTTTTTTCTTTCAGATTTTAAGTTTTGAATGAAATAATGAAAGGATTTTCTAGCCTTGGATGCAGGGATCTTCCACCATGCATTAAAAAAATCAATAAATTCGAGGGGAAAAAGTTTAGTAATTGTTACCCTCTTTCAGTATGCTCTAGTCCTTGCCTTTCTTCTTTTCGTTCCCTTTTTCTAAAAAAAAATTTCGGCAAGAAAAAAATAAAACAAGAGTTATTTTTTTTTTTGTGTACTCTAAGAGAAAAATAGAAAAATACTAAATGTATGCAATACATCCCCGGCAGCGGCACCAAAATTTGACGTGACTTAGTCGTTGTATATTAAATCACGTAAATATAAAATTTATAAAACTATAAAATACGAATTTTTGGATATTTAGAAGTATTTCTGAAAAAATATATTAATCATAATTCAATAAAAATTTCCAAAAATAGCAGTAATTTTCCAAGTCAATCACAAAGATGTAATATAATATTTGGTAATTATTCAGAATTTTCAGCAAAGAATACTATTTTGTATGAATTTTATACTAGGAAATGAAAAGGAAATATATTTAAAATTCACAGAAAAAGGAAATAAGGGTGCGGACCTCAGGATGAAGTCAGCGCCCGGCGAACATGAATCGGGCGGAAATAGAGTTCTGCCCGACGATTTTTACGTAAGCGATTACAGACGATTTAATTGATCAAATTAAGATTTGTAAAAGCAAGAAGAATCGTAATTGAACGAAGTATATTTTGGTAAATTAAAGTCACACAAATTATCACTAAATGAAGCGTAAAGTAAGGTGAAAGTAGGAAAATAGAGTTCCGGCATCACGACGGCGATACGTCAGCGATGCACTGGAATCCTAAGCGTTTGGGAGGATAGTCGTGTAGTGTCCACAGTCTCAAAGGCTCTCCTTGGACAAGGACGATGTGGGCAATCTCTAGATCTCCTTGCGAAGTCTAGAGATCAATGAAATGGGTCGTCAAATCATCTTCGATGGCTATCACTTGACGAAGCGGAAAAATGGCGACTTTGCGGCTCTCTGGCGGCTGTCACCCAACGAAGAGGAGCTGGATGGAGGTGGGGCGTGTGTCAGGGAGCTTCATCCTCAAGTCCGCGTAGCAAGAGGAGGCTCTTCATCGCATCCGGTACACTCTCAGGAGGTGGTGACTCGTCTCCCAGCAGATCGTCCTCTTCTCGATGATAGCTTGTTCGTCGATCAATCGGAGATGCTTTACTCGGTGGATTCGCGATCCTTTTATCGTGAATTGTTCATTTATTTTAGTAGCAATGCTCTGTGAATCGCATTGACGAGATTTTTGCCGATGATCCAGCGATTCTGGTTGCTTAATCCTTCAACGGCGATCTACAAGAAAGTCGCGATAATCAGATAAAAACATATGAGTTTTGGTTCTAAGAGGATTCAAACCCGTGCTAGTTGCCCCGCCCCTTCTGGGAAGGTGACGCGGGTTTAGTCCCACATCGGTTGTGCACTAAATTTTCGGGCAAATATATAGTAATGTTAGATTTTTAAGCAAGTCCCTTTCTCGCGCGTGTACAACCACTTCTTATCCCATAGCCAGCTGGCCATCGGTGACGTGGAAGGGGAGTGGCGCACACGTGCCCCCATCGGTTCAAGCCGCTCGAGCCCCTGCTCGCGGCTACTCCCCAACTGTACTTCCGACCCACTTGCGAGCCTGGCTGGCCGGCGGGTCCCCCCATTTTACTATATTTTTATTTTAATTTCTTTTCCTTCATTTATCTCAAAAATAAGACTGTAAAAATCGTATAAATCAAATAATTATCCAAAAATTCACATTAATCAACTTAAAACAACTTTTCACACTTTAACACAAATATAAGTCTATTTATCATGAGTTAAGGCTAAAACTATATTATTTACTAATTATTAACTCATGATAATGAAGACTTATCAGTCACCCGACGAAGAGGAGCTAGATGGAGGTGGGGCGCATGTTAAGGAGCTTCATCCTTACGTCCGTGCAGCAAGAGGAGGCTCTTCATCACATCCAGGATGCTCTCAAGAGGTGGCAACTCGTCTCCCTGCAGATCGTCCTCTTCTCGACAATGACTTGTTCATCGATCAATTAGAGATGATTTACTTGATAGATTCGTGATCCTTTTATCGCGAATCATTTTCAGCAATTTTAGTAACAATGCTTTGCGAATTGCGTTCACAAGATTTTTGGCAATGATTTAATGATTTTAGTGACTTAATCCTTCACTGGTGATCTACAAGAAAGTGAAGATATTCCATCATTGGGCTCTCGGAGGATTCAAACCCGTGCCGATTGCCCGCCTACATGAGAGATTGAAATAAGTACTCTAATGCCCTTATCAAGTGACGTCAACATAGTCTATCTCTATTATAACTAAGGAGTAATTTAGATATTAAAATCTTCGAAGCCTTTCAAGGGAAAGTGTGATGTGGGTTTAGTCCCACATCCCTTGTGCGCCAAAGTTTTAGGCGAATATATAGTAATATCACATTTACAAGTAATGAGTACTTTTCTCTCACATGTACGACCACTCCTTGTCTCAGACCCAGCTGGCCATTGGTCATGTGGAAGGGGAGTGGCGCACACATGCCCCCATTGGTCCTAGCAACCTGAGCCCCTGCTCACGGCTCCCCCTGACTATGCTTCCGACCCACTTGCAGGCTCGGTTGGCTGGTGGGTCCCCTCTTTTTGCTATATTTTTATTTTTATTTCTTTTTCTTGATTTATCTCAAAAATAGGACTATAAAAATCATATAAATGTATAGAAAATTACCTAATTAGCTAAAAAAATCACATTAATCAATTGAAAACTACTTTTCATAGTTTAACAGAAATATAAGTCTATTTATCATGAGTTAAGGCTAAAACTATACTATTTACTAATTATGAACTCATGATAATGAAAACTTATCAGTGGTTTCCTATTATGACAAAAAAAGACATTATATTAACAAATAATAAAGGTAAAAATATTGTACTTGAAAATTATCAATTTACTTGAAAATATTGTACGTGTGCTCTTAAAAAGGCAAAAATCTCATTTTATATGTGTAAAACTATATACAAATTTATATACAACAGATTTGCTCAAAAACATTTAATAGGGGTCGCATATAGAATTATGTAACTCTTAATTACAATTGTACATTCGACTACAGTCAAAATAGATAATAATTTGTTTCAATAAATAGTTTCCATGATTAATTCATCATCCTCATAAATGTGATGGTCGGCACACTTGTTAATACAATAACTTTCCTACTTATACTTAAAGTCCTACTTTAGACAAGAAATTTATTTTCCACTCATCAATGGAATGAATCAAGATTTGACGATGGCTACATTTTACTTCAAGTTTAGGAAAACATCTAGAGGGTGCAATGTATAAAAGGTATATATGATGACATTCATCCATGTGAATCATATAAGATTTAACTTTGTCAAAATATGCTTTTCAAATTGAAGACATTACAAAGCATAGCTACGTGACTTTTATTTCAAACTCCTCTTTATCTACCCAATCTTCTATGAATTTAGATGTTTCTTAATTTTTAGATCATCACTAAAGAAATCATACTTTTACTATGATGGGAACCAATTATGGCATTACATTACTTTCAGTTTTGGACTACATGTGGTTCTGAACACATTATGGGGTGGATGTGTGTCCTTTGGTGGACACATAAGCTTCCAATACATAATTATTATTTCTTCATAACTTTACGTATTCTAATAAATAATATTTCTAATAATATTTAATATTCTAATAAATAAATATAACCTAAACTATAAAATTCGTGCCATTTAATCCAATACTTGTAGTGTTCATTTATTTAATGATAATTTTTTTATTTTTGGTAAACTATAGTAATTATTCATTGCAACTAAACATTATGATTGTATGAAATAATATTAGATTTCTTCCCTTTAATACTGTATTTTTATGTGCCAGCTTTCTTATAAAGAAGTAATATTCATTATTTATGCATAAAATTTACATTTATGGGTCTAATAATTGTTTCTGATAATTTGTAAGTGTGAATGTACTTAAACATATTATATTCCTGTACTTAATAGGTTACGTCTAAAGTGGTGCCATTTCCAAGGTGAATAAATAGTAGGTACAAAACATTTCTAAAGTTTAAATGTTGGCAATAAATGATACATATTCCTAGCAAAAGTAACTATTATATAAATATCTACTTATACTCACGCCCTCTAAATGATTGTCTTATATTATTATCATTGATTGATATAGTTTCTCTTTTTGCATAAATATTAATTACACACCTTTATCAATAGTTATGATTACATTAAAAAAAGTATTATATTCATGCCCTTAATATGAGGCTTTTAAACTATCATTTTCTTTATGAATAAATAAGAACAATAATAATAAATAATTTAGTCATGAGATTTATGTTTTCTCAATTGGCACTTTACAGATTTTATTTATATTCTTACATGTACATGGTCATGGTCTGTCATCAATCAAACATTTTATCCGTTTCTTTCTATGACACTCATCTTCTTCATGATTTACCTGCAATCTTCCACGTTTTTGGTGAACCTGTTGGAAACATGGTCAGCCTATTTAACAACAGATGATAGAGCCATGAAAAAGAGATAAAACCATCTGACATAAAATAAAAATATGCGAGGTAATTTCAGTGATGTCATGTTTGCAACCACCTTCAAAATTGCATCAATCCGAATGGTCTTTAACAGGGTGCAGGGGGGGCATATCAAGCTTCCAAAAAGAGAAATGAGCTTCGAGTAGGTGGGCTGCTCAACAAATTGTATCTTCTTCACTGCTTCAAGGAATTGTGCGAAAGGAGGGGGACAGCCACCACACAGCGTCTCGGGGGAGGTTACAGTCTTGTTCATGAAGACTAGAAACCTCTTGTCATTCCCCTACATAGTTGGCATAAGAATCAGCAAGTGATGAATCAAAGAGATGGGAGAACATGTACAAGTAGAGGTGGAAGCAAACCTGATAGCCTTCCCACGGCAGCCTTCCTTTAATCAAAAAAATCAGAGTGTAGGCCAATGACTCAAGATCATCTCTTCTACTCGCTGTGAGGCCTAAATGTGCATGGACGCTTGCATATCGTGTTGTGCCCCTAGGGAACATGAGATAGATAGTAAGGTAGGGGTAAGATTTTATGAATCCTCATCTTAGCTAAGAATTTAGGGAAAAAATAGAATATCGTTTCCCAAAAAACCTGAAATTATCTGGCTGTTGGCATAATCTGACATGCTGGCCTGACAAACTGTCCCTCCACATTGAAGCTGATTAAAATATTAATGACACCAATTAGCATTTGTACAGGCTCTGAACAAAGCACAAAAATATCACTGATGTTGATACAGACAGGGACTTCTCAGTCAAGACAAATTTGTTTATATACTTGGAAAAACAAACCCTACTCTAAAATCAATAGGCGCGAGAGGTGAAAACAAGAAGTGATTGGAATGCAGCAACATACCCAGCCCAAAGTCGATGAGAAAAAGCTTCTTCTCCCCTGAGCTTCCGGGTTTACCCAACAATAAATTCTCTGGCTTGACGTCTCCATGCACAAACCTGGCATGTTTTTTTTTTGTGTGGGTGGAGGGAGGGAGTGCACAAGGGAGCAATGAATTAATTACTGTGACCTTTGCGAAAATATAATTGAAAAAATATCACACTGCCACAAAGCCATACATACCCTTTTTGGTGTAGCTTCTCAAGGATGGATATTGCCTCCACAGCAATACAAGCCACCATATTTGGTGGCATTCTGTCCAAGGAGTTAGTCAAACTCAATAGCACAATTTTCAACAGAATATTGACTTTGAATATGAAGTCAAGATTATTTTCTTACACTTGCCCAATGGATATGAACACATCCAGAAGACTTGGTCCAAGGATGTCCATGATCTGCAGCAATCATCATCAACAATATCATAACTAGCTTTCAATAAAAAATATAATTCGAGGAAACAATAAAATGAAAGACTCTACGCCAACCATGACGAAATAATCTCCTTGGCGGCCCTTGTAGTGCACCCTAGGTAATCCATAGCATCCCTTGAGATGGCTAAAACCATATTCACAAAGTCAGGTGAAGAACATAGTTTTAGATCGACACAATACGTAATAAATTAGAGCAGTAGGGGGTGTCTTCTTACTCATAAACTTGCCATTCATATGGGGGGCCAAATCTGCAACCCGTGCTATTTCTATGCTCAAACTTCAGTGCTACCTACACCCACCGCAGGAAAATGAAAGAGACAACATAAAACAGCAGTATTTAAAGATTCCCGTGGCAGGAGTGATGGGAGGTTGAAACTAAACCTTAAAGGCATTGGGCCCATTGCCCTGAGATCCACCAGCCACCCTTCGTCCAATGTAGACCAGCCCAAAACCTCCTGCTCCCAACATTCTCTCTACCTTGTATAATGGAGAATTTCCGACCTGCACCTGTCGATTTTGGATAGGACATTCCTATTGTCAAGATGTGATGTGCTTTGGGATGGGGAGAGAAAGCTCTCTACAGTCGCCGTCAAGGAAAGGAATGAGGGACGTCGAAGCATGTACCCGATCCGGGATGGGAGACATCCTCGCTTCCTCCTGTAGCCCGACAACCTCGTCCACACTTCCTCCCTCGATTCCAGCTGCTTTCTCAACAGGACAGCCCGCCACCAAGTTCTGATGGCTTTTCTGGGTGGGGAATAACGCTCGGGAGAGGTGCAGGTACGGAGGGTGTTGTTTCCTGCCGGAAATCACCGGGTTCTTCTCCAGACCCTGGTCGATCGCTCAGCGATCTGAAAATCGAATGTGCCCCTTGATTCAACACGCTCACCCGTCACCGTCAATCGATAAACCTTGCTGAAATAATCTTTTCTCCTCCAGACTGTAACACTCATCCGTCCCCAAAGAGCAATCTGATGGAAGTCTAAAGAAGAAGATAGATCCCCCTACCCAGACCAAACATCAAATCGAATCAGCAACGAAGCGGCAAAACAAATCGGAAGAAAGTAAATAAATAAGAGGAAGGAGGAAAGCCAGAGCTTTCTTCAGCAATCTCGCACCACCCGCACCACCGCAGGCAACCGAAAGTCCAAATCAAAGAAAATAAAGATCCCATCGAAAGAGTCCACAAGAAGATGCCCCCGACACAGAGAAAATCACGAACCCATCGAAAGACGGCACTAGAACATAACCCCCGAATCAACGAAAGGCGAGAATTCGTCGAAAGACGGCACCAGAACATACCCGGAGCGGCCTTTCAGGGAAGCAGAAGCCTGGGAACGTACGACCTCTCCGTGAGGCGGCGCCGACCGTGACCTCGGCGTCTTCGGCGGTGGACTCCTCCACCGGATGCGGCCTCCCACTCTTCCTCCGGATTCGCGCACGAGAAAGGGATCCAGAAGAACTCGACGGAGAGGAGAGGAGAAGGCGGCCGGCTGTCCGAACTCCGCCGTGCTTCGTAGAGCGAGGACGCATCCACAGAAAGAAAGCGAGAGCAAGATAGAGTGAGAGAGAGCAGACAGACAAAGGGAGCGAGAAAAGGCGCGAAAGAAAGAGAGATCAATGACAGCCTCACTCTATCACCCGCTCCTCTTTTACGTTCTGCCATTAGGTACGGATCTCCAATTACATTTCTCTCTGGGGTCTGACGTAAATTGTGCCAATTTCTGTTCACGATGTCCATTGAAATGTCGTCGAATCCGTGTGGGCCACGTGTCCCACATCTGCTTAAGTCTCATGCTAACTCGTCGGTTCTGCTTCCACTGTCGACCTGTTGATGGTTTAACTTTTAGCCTCTGAATATTCCGGCCCATTGGGTCACTTGGCTCGGCCCAGCCCAACTCATTCTGATTTTCTTTTATTTTAGACCTTTATTAATTCCTAAAAAATATCAAAAACTCTTAGAAATTATGAGAAATTCTAGAAAAATTCAGAAAATCCAGAATAAATTCTAGAAAATCCTAAAACTCACATAAAAAATATTTCATGCATAATTATTTAAAATTAATTATCTTAAAATAATATTAAAAATATTAAAATGCATGTTTATGTATGAATGAAATCTGAATACGTACGAATTAAATGTAACATGTATTATTTCTATTAATTTTATGCACTAAATATTGATAAATATAAGGTAAATACAGATAATGAAGACTTATCAACCACAACATAATAACTAGACTAAGATGATCTAGTTCAATCGTTTTCGTCCACAATATACTATCATTAGCCATTTATTGTCGCACCACATACCCATGAATACAACCTAAAACTCCTTCATACTTCAAAGAATAATGATCATGGTAAAGAATTCACCTATCTTTTTTTCATGAGATCCACACCCCTAATCTAGAGAAGGTAAACTTTTCTAATTGACTTACCCTTTCAAAGGAGCATTAGGCTTTGTTCGTTTAAGCATACGTGTTTGTGCAATAATCAATGCAGCAAAAGTTTTAAAATATTCATAACATTTTTGAATTTTTTTTGTTCTCCCCCCTACTTGAATGATGCATTATCTCTAATGCATGCAAATGAAGGAAGAGATAACCTCCCCCCTACTTAAGTCTTGCATTGTTCTTAATGCATGTGAGAGAAGGGAAAAGAGAAGAAAATTCTGATTTTTATGCCCCATCTACTACACCATTGCCCCTGAATGGTTCTAACTAAAGCACTCGACCAATAAAATATGTCTAAAACAAAAGCTAGTAAGGAAATGCATAAAAAAAAATGATAGTTCTCCTCAAGATAAATTATGTGCATACACACAAATAGATCAAGTCCTCAAATATCTACTAGAGACCAGCCAATCACCTCTCTCTATGTACTAAGCACATCAAGTAATCTATTCCCTTGATCCTTAGACAAATACGATGATATAATCATTGGATAAGCTTGATGTCAATCAAAAAATACATACTTTAGTGAAGATGGTTGATAAGTCTTCATTATCATGAGTTAATAATTTATAGTTTTAATCTTAACTCATGATAAATAGACTTATATTTATGTCAAATTATGAAAAATAGTTTTTAGTTGGTTAATTTGGCTAATTATGGGATCTTATGTGAATTTATATAATTTTTATAATCTTATTTTTGAGGTAAATGAAGAAAAAAAAATAAAAAAATAGAAGAAAGAGAAAACTTGCCACCTAGTTGAGCCCACAAGTAGGTTGGAAGCATGGACAGGCGGAATTGTGAGTAAGGGCTTGAGCGGCTAAAGACAAACCGATAGGGGACACATGTGCGTCACTCCCCTTCCACATCATCAATGGCCAGTCGGGCATGCGACAAAGAGCGGCCGTACACATGTGAGAAAGGGACACATTGATTATCAAGTCAGTATTACTATATATCAACCTCAAAACTCGGAATATAATCAAATGTGGAACTAAACTTGGGGTCACAGCCTCTGAAAAGTTTTAATAATTTTAATACCTAAAATATCCCTTGTTTAGTAAACCACACAAATTTAAAATTTATAAAACTAGAAAATACTAATTTTTAGATATTTAGAAGTATTTTTGAATAATTATATCAATTATAATTTAATCAAAGTTCTAAAAATAATGGAGATTTTTTAGGTCAATCACAGGGATGTAATATAATATCACGTAATATTTTAGAAATGTTCTCAAATAATACAATTTTTTATGAATTTTAAACTAAAAAAAGAAAATAAAATATATTTTAAATTTGTGAAAAAGGGAAATAAAGGTGTAGATGTCAAGATGATGTCAGCACCTAACGAATGGGAACCGGGTAGAAATAGCATTCTACTTGGTGATTTTTACATAAGCGATTATAGACGATTTAATTAGTCAAATTAAGATCTGTAAAAGCTAGAAGAATCGTTACAAGAAGTATTTTGCAAGCCTTGTTGATCCTGATTTCACATGTGGAAGCCCCATGAAATCAGCTAAGGTGCTACTACGATTTTTTTATTTTTTTTTCTAGTGTAATCTTTACCATGTTCTATCCTTTTGTCTTAGGTTTAATCATGATTAATGATTTGTAAAAGCATCAACTAATTTGAAAACTTTTCAACTGACTACTGATCAAGAAAGAGAAGGATTCAATTTACTACTCATAGTTAATAATAAGAATTCATAACATAAATCTGGCAGAAGATCAAAGTAGATTTTCTCAATTTAAGAGTGTGGGTTATATGCACCATGAAAGATCATGAACTTCATCATTTAGTTATAAGCATTATAGCACCTGATGTAATCTCATGTATTCACCCTCATGCATTTATTCTTCCCCCTCAAACAACCATTCGCATTGTCCTCAATGCATCTATATAAGAGAAAAAAGAGAAAGCATTAAATGTGCAAACTGATTTTCACTCTTCATCCTTCTGATTTTCTTTTGTATTAATCCGTGTCATGATATGCACTTCCTCTAGAATGCTGGATCTGTTCGCTTAATAAAAACTCAAGAAAAACATCAAAGGATAGAGAAAAATAATAAAAAGGAATGTAGTGGAAGAGAAAGCTATGCTGTCTTAGAGTACATGATGGAGGGGAAGTTATAAGAAGATTGAGGTTCAATGGATGGATCATATAATTGAGCGGAAATGGGTAAAGAAGGAGGGTTCGTTTCTAAATAAGGTTTTAATCTTTGCCCATTCACATTAAAATTTTTACCAGTTTTAAGATCTACAATTAATATTGCACCATAGTCAAAAACTTTAATCACAAGGTATGGTCCATCCCATCTAGAATTTAATTTTTCGAGGAATAGTTTCAATCGAGAATTGTAAAGCAAAACTTTTTGATGCTCATGAAAACTCTTTCTGCTCACCTTCTTGTTATAAAAAGCCTTCATTTTTGCTCTGTAAATTAGAGACTTCTCATACATCTCATTGGGTAGTTCTTGAAGCTCTGGCAACTGCAACATACAGTGCTTACCAACAGCGTCTAAAGAGAGATTAAGATTCTTTATAGCCTAATAAGCCTTATGTTCGATCTTCATAGGAAGGTGACAAACCTTTTGATGCGACTTAGTCGTTGTATTGTAAATCACGTAAATTTAAAAATTATAAAACTAGAAAATACTAATTTTTAGATATCTAGAAATATTTCTGAAAAAATATATCAATTATAATTTAATAAAATTTACAAAAATAGTGGTAATTTTTCATGTCGATCACAAGGATATAATATAATATTGGGTAACTTTTTAGTATATTCCTCAAAGAATATAATTTTTTATTAATTTTATACTATGAAGTGAAAATAAAATATATTTAAAATTCGTGAAAAAAGGAAATAAGGGTGCGGATGTTAGGATGATGTCAACATCCGACAAACGCGAATCAACAGAAATAGAGTTCCACCTAGTGATTCTTGCGTAAGCGATTACAGATGATTTAATTGATCAAATTAAGATCTGTAAAAGATGAAAGAATCGTAATTGAATGAAATATAGCTTGGTAAATTTAAATCACACAAATTATTAGTAATGAAGTACAAATTAAGTTGAAAGTAAAAACATAAAGTTCCAACATCGCGGCGGTAATCTGTCGACGATGCACGGGAATTCTAAGCATTCGAGAAGATTGTCGTGTAGTGTCCACGGCCTCAAACGCTCTCTTTGGACAAAGATGACATGGGCAATCTGTAGATATCCTTGAGAAGTCTAGAGATCAATGAAATGGGTCGTCGAATCGTCTCCAATAGTTGTCACTCGGCAGAGTGAAAAAATGATGACTTTGTGGCTCTCTAGTGGCTGTCACTAACGTGACTTAGTCATTGTATATTAAATCACACAAATATTAAATTTATAAAACTAGAAAATATGAATTTTTAGATATTTAGAAGAATTTTTGAACAAATATATCAATTATAATTCAATAAAATTTCAAAAATAGCAGTAATTTTCTAGGTTGATCACAAGAATGTAATATAATATCTGGTAATTATTCAGAATTTTCAGCAAAGAATACTATTTTCTATGAATTTTATACTAGGAAATGAAAAGAAAATATATTTAAAATTTACGGAAAAAGGAAATAAGGGTGCAGACATCAGGATGATGTCAGCACCCGGCGAACGCGAATTGGGCGAAAATAGAGTTCCGCTCAGCGATTCTTATGTAAGTGATTATAGATGATTTAATTGATCAAATTAAGATTTGTAAAAGCAAGAAGAATCGTAATTGAATGAAGTATATTTTGGTAAATTAAAATCACACAAATTATCACTAAATGAAGCGTAAAGTAAGGTGAAAGCAGGAAAATAGAGTTCCAGCATCGCGGCGGCGATACGTCGGCAATGTACCGGAATCTTGAGTGTTCGAGAGGATAGTTGTGCAGTGTCCACGGCCTCGAAGGCTCTCCTTGGACAAGGACGATGTGGGCAATCTCTAGATCTCCTTGCGAAGTCTAGAGATCAATGAAATGAGTCGTCAAATCATCTCCGACGGCTGTCACCCGGCGGAGCAAAAAAACGGCGACTTTGTGACTCTCCGGCGACTGTCACCCGACAGAGAGGAGCTGAATGGAGGTGGGGCGCATGTCAGGGAGCTTCATCCTCAAGTCCGCGCTGCAAGAGGAGGCTTTTCATCACATCTAGTATGCTCTCAAGAGGTGGCGACTTGTCTCCCGGCGGATCGTCTTCTTCCCGACGACGGCTTGTTCGTCGATCAATCAGAGATGCTTTACTCAATGGATTCACGATCCTTGTATCGCAAATTGACGTGACTTAGTCATTGTATATTAAATCACGCAAATCTAAAATTTATAAAACTAGAAAATATGATTTTTCAGATATTTAGAAGTATTTCTGAACAAATATATCAATTATAATTCAATAAAACTTCCAAAAATAGTAGTAATTTTCCAAGTCGATCATAGGGATATAATATAATATTTGGTAATTATTTAGATTTGTTTCTCAATGAATACGATTTTCTATGAATTTTATACTAGGAAATGAAAAGGAAATATATTTAAAATTCACAAAAAAAGGAAATAAGGGTGCAGATGTCAAGATGACGTCAGCGCCCGGCGAATGCGAATCGGGCGGAAATAGAGTTTTGCCCAGCGATTCTTACATAAGCGATTACAGACGATTTAATTGATCAAATTAAGATTTGTAAAAGCCGAAAGAATTGTAATTGAACGAAGTATATTTTGGTAAATTAAAATCACACAAAGTATTACTAAATGAAGTGTAAATTAAGTTTGAAAGCAGGAAAATAGAGTTCCAACATCGCGGCGGCGATGCGTCGACGATGCACTCGAATCCTAAGTGTTCGGGAGGATCGTCGTGTAGTGTCCACGGCCTCAAAGGCTCTCCTTGGACAAAGACGATGTGGGCAATCTCTAGATCTCCTTGCGAAGTCTAGAGATTAATGAAATGGGTCATCGACTCGTCTCCAGTGGCTGTCACCCGGCAGAGTGGAAAAACGGCGACTTTGCGGCTCTCCGGCGGCTGTCACTCGACGAAGAGGAGCTGGATGGAGGTGGGGCGCGTGTCAGGGAGCTTCATCTTCAAGTCCGCGCAGCAAGAGGAGGCTCTTCATCACATCTAGTATGCTCTCAGGAGGTGACGACTTGTCTCCCGGCGGATCGTCCTCTTCCCGACGACGGCTTGTTCGTCGATCAATTGGAGATGCTTTACTCGGTGGATTCACGATCCTTTTATTGCGAATCGTTCAGCAATTTTAGTAACAATGCTTCGTAAATCATGTTGACGAGATTTTTGCCGATGATTCAGCGATTCTGGTTACTTAATTCTTCACCGGTGATCTACAGGAAAGTCGCGATAATCAAATAAAAAAAGATGAGTTTTGGCTCTGGTAGGATTTGAACCCACACTAGTTGCCCGCCTTTTTTGGGGAAGGTGACGCGGGTTTAGTCCCACATCGGCTGTGCGCCGAAGTTTCTGGTGAATATAAAGTAATATTACATTCCCGATCAAGCGTGCATGTACGACCACTCCTTGCCCCACAGCCGGCTGGCCAACGATGACGTGGAAGGGGAGTGGCGTACACGTGCCCCCATCGGTTCAAGCTGCTCGAGCCCCTGCTTGCGGCTATTTCCCGACTGCACTTCCGACCCGCTCGCGGGTCCAGTTGGCTGGCGGGTCCCCCCATTTTGCAATATTTTTATTTTTATTTCTTTTTCTTCATTTATCTCAAAAGTAAGACTGTAAAAATTATATAAATTCGTATAAAATCACATAATTACCTAAAAAATCACATTAATCAACTGAAAACCACTTTTCACACTTTAACACAAATATAAGTCTATTTATCACGAGTTAAGGCTAAAACTATATTATTTACTAATTATTAACTCATGATAATGAAGACTTATCACACCCCCCAACTTAAATCATTGCTAGTCCCTTAGCAATGGAATTACGAAAATAAAAATTTACAAATCTCAAACATCATATTTCAATACATAAAAAAAATACAATTAGAAATGATGCACCTTTAGACACTTTGGACTCTTATATCAAGTATTTAAGAATGATGTCAAGCACTTAGATGTTTAAGTACTCCTTGGAATAACAATCTAGACTTCACTTCTTCTATTCACATCTTTATCACTTCTTCACTCATAGATATATTTACAAGATGTTCCAATTATCAATAATCATCCAAGAATAATATTGATCCTATATTTTCCTTTTTCTATGGCTTGATTTTTGAAGTGTGCACTATATTTCTTCCTTCTTTTTTTTTTTTTGATATATATAGTGGATAAGTAGCTTTTCCTGTAGATAAATTTCGACAATAAGAATGATGTCTCACACCCTCCATGTGTACTCTTCATTTTCAGGGCTTTCACTTTATCCACTTATTTTGTAGCAAGTGTTTTTCTATACACAATTTTCGACAATGAGAATGATGTCTCATACCCTCTATGTGTACTCTTTGTTTCTAGATTTTTCACATTGCTCCCTCTTTTTTTTCGAAATAAGTGATTTCTCCTCACAAGTCCTATAGATCTAGGAGCAAAAATCTCTATTAAACTCAAATGATCAATCAAATTTTCACATCAAGTAAATACTATCCATCAAGATCATGAAGTGAAAATCTGTAAAATCAAATCCATGTTATCTATCATGTATCCGAGTATTCCAACATTTCATGCTACTAGATCATTCTTTTGACTGAATAATAATCTTCCTAGTATCTTTTGGTATCAATCAATCTAATTGATTTAATTTTTTATGCATGCAATATGATGTAAGAAATTTGTAAATTAGATAGTTCTGACAATTCTGTTTTTTGTTTTCAGTTCTATTTTTAGCAACAATAAATTTGTCAAAAATAAATCAAAACTATCCTCTTTATAGCTGTAATTTCGAATTTCAGTAATATATGTCTAGGGGATTGAAATGTGAGAAAAGGGTCTCTAGAATTTCAAGTTTCGGGCTGGTTTTTGTCTGCTGTTTTTGATAGTTTCTTGTTCTTGATAGAAAATCAGAAAATAGATGTTGCAGTCTTTCTGAATTTTATTTATTATTATTTTTTTTTAAGTTACTGTTCTAATGCAAACACATGTACTTAATCGTCCTACAGCATAAATTAATAATGAATACTTCACCCCCCAACTTAAAAATGACGTTGTCCTCAATGACACAGAAAATCGAAACAGAATATGCAGAAAATATAATTTTCAAGTGAAGCATGCATATGTGCAAAGTTAAGCATTAAAAATATTTTCATAAATGATAAAGCTTAGAAAGACATCACCCCAACCTCGTTTTTAATTTTCCACTTCATCTTACACTCCTCCTCCTGCACTTTTTCGAAAAAACAAATACAGAAACAAGTACTACAAAATTCTAAGAAAAACAGAGCTTAGAAAAAAATCAAACAGAATAAAATAAAAACGATGGGTTGCCTCCCATGCAGCACTGGATTTAATGTCTTCAGTTGGACAGCTCTTAGATCATATAAGATGATCTATGGCCATCAAAATATATTTGTATCCCAAGGTAAGTTTCATGATATTCTTTTTCAGATTTAGCATAAATTTATTTCCCAAAAATAATATTTCTATGTTGAAAAGAATCTTTCCTCATTTCTATCTTGTTTTGTAAGGCTCTCATTCATTAATAAATACTTTCTATTAATAGACCATAAAATGTGATCAGGCCATTTAATTTTCAAATTAGCTCTTACCCAATCTAAATTCTTTTCATCTAAATTCATATCTCTAATTCTTCCACTCACCCATTTTGTTAATGTCTTCTTTTATCTGCATAATCTTCCCCTGCTCCATTTTATCTTCCATACATATTTGTTCAATTTGCAAGGAGTGAAATATTTCAAGCTTAGAAATAATTCTAATGGGCTGTGGGCTTTGAAAGATGGAAGGATTGTCTTCTTTAATCTCACATCTAATGAATTCAATAAAATTCAAATTTTCTCCTCCAAAATTATCTCTATATTCATATTCATTATTTTCATTTCTCTCCATTAGTTGAATCAACTCTTTTTCTAACTTTTCATTTCTCAACTCATCAAATTCTTCATCTTCCCAAGAGCTATCTTTTAATTTCGGTATATGATATACATCATTATCTTCACTATCAACATCTATGGCTGCAAAATTATGATTGGTGATAAGTCTTCATTATCATGAATTAATAATTAGTAAATAATATAGTTTTAGCCTTAACTCATGATAAATAGACTTATATTTGTGTTAAAGTGTGAAAAGTGGCTTTCAGTTGATTAATGTGATTTTTTGGGTAATTATGTGATTTTATACGAATTTATATGATTTTTATAGTCTTAGTTTTGAGATAAATGAAGAAAAAGAAATAAAACTAAAAATATTGTAAAATGGGGGGACCCACCGACCAGCCGGGCCCGCAAGCGGGTTGGAAGCGTAGTTGGGGAGTAGCTGCGAGTAGGGGCTCGAACGGCTTGAACCGATGATGTGGGCACGTGTCCGCCACTCCCCTTCCACGTCACTAGTGGCCAGCCGGCTATGGGGCAAAGAGTGGTCGTACATGCACGCTTGATCGAGAATGTAATATTACTTTATATTCGCTAGAAACTTCGGCGCACAACCGATGTGGGACTAAACCTGCATCTTCTTCCCCAAAAAGGGCGGGGCAACTGGCGCGGGTTCGAATCCTCCTAGAGCCAAAACTCATATTTTATTCTGATTATCGTGACTTTCCTGCAGATCACTGGTGAAGGATTAAGCAACGAAAATCACTGGATCATCGGCGAAAATCTCGTCAACGCAATTCGCAGAGCATTGTTACTAAAATTGCTGAAAGATTCGCGATAAAAGGATCGTGAATCCATCGAGTAAATCATATCCGATTGATCGACGAACAAGCCATCATTGGGAAGAGGACGATCTGCCGGGAGACGAGTCGCCACCTCCTAAGAGCGTACCAGATGCGATGAAGAGCCTCCTCTTGCTGCACAGACCTGAGGATGAAGCTCCTTGACACGTGCCCCACCTCCATCTAGCTCCTCTCCATCGGGTGACAGCCGCCGGAGAGCCGCAAAGTCGCCGTTTTTCCGCTCTGTCGGGTGACAGCTGTCGGAGACGACTCGACGACCCATTTCATTAATCTCTAGACTTCACAAGGAGATCTAGAGATTGCCCACATCGTCCTTGTCCAAGGAGAGCCTTTGAGGCCGTGGACACTACACAACTATCCTCCCGAATGCTCAAGATTCTGGTGCATCGCCGACGCATCGCCGCCGCAACGCCGGAACTCTATTTTCCTGCTTTCAAACTTAATTTACGCTTCATTTAGTGATACTTTGTGTGATTTTAATTTACCAAAATATACTTCGTTCAATTACGATTCTTCTGGCTTTTACAGATCTTAATTTGATTAATTAAATCGTCTGTAATCGCTTACGTAAGAATTGCCGGGTGGAACTCTATTTCCGCTCGATTCGCGTTCGCCGAGCACTGACGTCATCCTGACGTCTACACCCTTATTTCCTTTTTTCGTGAATTTTAAATATATTTCCTTTTCATTTCCTAGTGTAAAATTCATAGAACATTGTATTCATTCAGAAAAAATCTGAATAATTACCAAATATTATACTACATCCTTGTGATTGACCTGGAAAATTATCGTTATTTTTGGAAGTTTTATTGAATTATAATTGATATATTTTTTCAAAAATACTTCTACATATTTGAAAAATTGTATTTTTTAGTTTTATAAATTTTAGATTTGCGTGATTTAATATACAACGACTGAGTCACGTCAATTAGGTTTATTAATTTTGTCTCCTACATCTCCCAAATCAACTGATTTTTCCTCACTTGAAATATGTTTCTCTTCATTTCTGTCCTTACTCCCTTCTAATAAAATTTGGATGATTCTTCCATAATCAGCTGCTATTTCTTCATCTAAGGGCTCTTTCTCCTCATCATCCTCACTATATTCATTCATCAATTGTGAGCAATAAATGATTTTATTCAATTTTTCTACTACTATATTTCCAGCCTTAATATTCTCATTTACTTCTAATGGCTCATCAATTTCTTCTAATAATTAGAAATATGGATCAGGTAAAATATTCTCACTCAATGTATTCATTGTCCTAACATTTTCATTTCGTGGTTTTTTTTTCTAAATATCCCGCTAGACTCTCCTTATTGAAATCCTACTATTAGACAATTTCCTAAATTTTCTATAGGCTGATTAAGTGGTTGTCCCTCTTCTCTCTTATTCCCAAAAGTTTCTATAATTTGTTTCTAGTGCAGCATCATTTGATTCATAGCTTGTTGCATCATTTGGCTCATTTGCTGCATCATTTCCATAGTATTAGGTTGGCTTTGAGATGGCTGATTTTTCTGAAATCTGTTTTCTTGTTTTAGACGAAATTTAGAGTTTGAATTGGGTCTAAGTGCTTCTGGATTTTGAATATTATTTGAGTCTCTCCATGAAAAATTATTCCTCTAATTAGGATTATAAGAATTTGAAAAAGGTTTTCCTATTTCTATTAAAACCGTGAGCTACTTGCACTTGTTCTTGCCTAGGGTGAAATGATTGATCTAAATTATAGCATTGAAATTCAAAATAATCATTTTCACCATACATAGGACATGTACTATTTGAATTAAATTGAGGGTTAAGAGGCTTTCTAATATTGTCAATAAGTAAATCAAGTTTTTCTAATCTTTGATTAATTTGATTAACTTTATTTCTCAATTTAGAATCATCATCATGATGCAATTCATAAATTCCTCTCTTCTTATCCCTATCATATAATTCAAAAGAGGCTTGATCTCTAGAATTTTCACTTAAATTTTCATAAAGACTGTAAGTCTCATTAGGGGTTTTCTCCATAAAAGCTCCTCCACATATAGAATCAACCATATTTCTATGTTGTTCTAATAATCCATCATAAAAAATTCTATTGAGCTGCCACTTGGGTATAGTATGATGAGGACATATTCTAAGTAAATCTTTGAATTTTTCCCATGTCTCATGCAAAGTTTCTCCTGGTCTTTGAGAAAAATTCTATATATGTTTTTTCATATTTTAAGTTTTTCCTAAGGGATAAAATTTTCGAAGAAAAGCCTGTTCTATGTCTTTCCAGCTAGTTAATTCTCTATCTAATATGGATAGCTAATGGCTAGCTTTGTCCCTAAGTGTATGAGAAAATAATTTCATCTTAATAATTTCCGGTGTAACTTGAGGGAGGTTAACTAAATCACAAACCATTAAAAACATGAAAATTAGGGAGCATTTGAAAAATTCCTGGATTTATTTCAAATTTAATAGTGGGTGCTAATGGGACTTTAATATTAGATGCTCTTTGAAATGAATCAGGGATATAATAATTTTTCATGGCCATAGGATTGTTCTCAGTTTGACCTATACTTTCTTCAGGATCTATCAAAATTAATTTTTTTCTTTCAGATTTTTAGTTTTGAATGAAATAATGAAAGGATTTTCTAGCCTTGGATGCAGGGATCTTCCACCATGTATTAAAAAAATCAATAAATTCGAGGGGAAAAAGTTTAGTAATTGTTACCCTCTTTCAGTATGCTCCAGTCCTTGCCTTTCTTCTTTTCGTTCCCTTTTTCTAAAAAAAAATTTCGGCAAGAAAAAAATAAAACAAGAGTTAATTTTTTTTTTGTGTACTCTAAGAGAAAAATAGAAAAATACTAAATGTATGCAATACATCCCCGGCAGTGGCACCAAAATTTGACGTGACTTAGTCGTTGTATATTAAATCACGCAAATATAAAATTTATAAAACTAGAAAATATGAATTTTTGAATATTTAGAAGTATTTCTGAACAAATATATCAATTATAATTCAATAAAAATTTCCAAAAATAGCAGTAATTTTCCAAGTCAATCACAAAGATGTAATATAATATTTGGTAATTATTCAGAATTTTCAGCAAAGAATACTATTTTGTATGAATTTTATACTAGGAAATGAAAAGGAAATATATTTAAAATTCACAGAAAAAGGAAATAAGGGTGCGGACCTCAAGACGAAGTCAGCGCCCGGCGAACATGAATCGGGCGGAAATAGAGTTCTGCCCGATGATTTTTACGTAAGCGATTACAGACAATTTAATTGATCAAATTAAGATTTGTAAAAGCAAGAAGAATCGTAATTGAACGAAGTATATTTTGGTAAATTAAAGTCACACAAATTATCACTAAATGAAGCGTAAAGTAAGGTGAAAGTAGGAAAATAGAGTTCCGGCATCACGACGACGATACGTCAGCGATGCACTGGAATCCTAAGCGTTCGGGAGAATAGTCGTGTAGTGTCCACAGTCTCAAAGTCTCTCCTTGGACAAGGACGATGTGGGCAATCTCTAGATCTCGTTGCGAAGTCTAGAGATCAATGAAATGGGTCGTCAAATCATCTTCGACGGCTATCACCTAACAGAGCGGAAAAATGGCGACTTTGCAGCTCTCCGGCGGCTGTCACCCAACGAAGAGGAGCTGGATGGAGGTGGGGCGTGTGTCAGGGAGCTTCATCCTCAAGTCCGTGTAGCAAGAGGAGGCTCTTCATCGCATCTGGTACACTCTCAGGAGGTGGCAACTCATCTCCCGGCAGATCGTCCTCTTCTCGATGATAGCTTGTTCGTCGATCAATCGGAGATGCTTTACTCGGTGGATTCGCAATCCTTTTATCGTGAATTGTTCATTTATTTTAGTAGCAATGCTCCGTGAATCGCATTGACGAGATTTTTGCCGATGATCCAGCGATTCTGGTTGCTTAATCCTTCACCGGCGATCTACAAGAAAGTCGTGATAATCAGATAAAAACATATGAGCTTTGGTTCTAAGAGGATTCGAACCTGTGCCAGTTGCCCCGCCCCTTCTGGGAAGGTGACGCGGGTTTAGTCCCACATTGGTTGTGCACTAAATTTTCGGGCAAATATATAGTAATGTTAGATTTTTAAGCAAGTCCCTTTCTCGCACGTGTACGACCACTTCTTACCCCACAGCCGGCTGGCCATCGGTGACGTGGAAGGGGAGTGGCGCACACGTGCCCCCATCGGTTCAAGCCGCTCGAGCCCCTGCTCGCGGCTACTCCCCAACTACACTTCCGACCCACTTGCGAGCCTGGCTGGCCGGCGGGTCCCCCCATTTTGCTATATTTTTATTTTTATTTCTTTTCCTTCATTTATCTCAAAAATAAGATTATAAAAATCGTATAAATCAAATAATTACCCAAAAATTCACATTAATCAACTTAAAACAACTTTTCACACTTTAACACAAATATAAGTCTATTTATCATGAGTTAAGGCTAAAACTATATTATTTACTAATTATTAACTCATGATAATGAAGACTTATCAGTCACCCGACGAAGAGGAGCTAGATAGAGGTGGGACGCGTGTTAAGGAGCTTCATCCTTACGTCCGTGCAGCAAGAGGAGGCTCTTCATCACATCCAGGATGCTCTCAGGAGGTGGCAACTCGTCTCCCTGCAGATCGTCCTCTTCTTGACAATGACTTGTTCATCGATCAATCAGAGATGATTTACTCGATAGATTCGTGATCCTTTTATCGCGAATCATTTTCAGCAATTTTAGTAACAATGCTTTGCGAATTGTGTTCACAAGATTTTTGCCAATGATCTAATGATTTTAGTGACTTAATCCTTCACTAGTGATCTACAAGGAAGTGAAGATAATCCTTCATTGGGCTCTAGGAGGATTCAAACCCGTGCCGATTGCCCGCCTACATGAGAGATTGAAATAAGTACTCTAATGCCCTTATCAAGTGACGTCAACATAGTATATCTCTATTATAACTAAGGAGTAATTTAGATATTAAAATCTTCGAAGCCTTTCAAGGGAAAGTGTGATGTGGGTTTAGTCCCACATCCCTTGTGTGCCAAAGTTTTAGGCGAATATATAGTAATATCACATTTACAAGTAATGAGTACTTTTCTCTCACATGTACGACCACTCCTTGTCTGAGACCCAGCTGGCCATTGGTCATGTGGAAGGGGAGTGGCGCACACATGCCCCCATTGGTCCTAGCAACCTGAGCCCCTGCTCACGACTCCCCCTGACTATGCTTCCGACCCACTTGCAGGCTCGGTTGGCTGGTGGGTCCCCTCTTTTTGCTATATTTTTATTTTTATTTCTTTTTCTTGATTTATCTCAAAAATAGGACTATAAAAATCATATAAATGTATAGAAAATTACCTAATTAGCTAAAAAAATCACATTAATCAATTGAAAACTACTTTTCATAGTTTAACAGAAATATAAGTCTATTTATCATGAGTTAAGGCTAAAACTATATTATTTACTAATTATGAACTCATGATAATGAAAACTTATTAGTGGTTTCCTATTATGACAAAAAAAGACATTATATTAACAAATAATAAAGGTAAAAATATTGTACTTGAAAATTATCAATTTACTTAAAAATATTTTACGTGTGCTCTTAAAAAAGTAAAAATCTCATTTTATATGTGTAAAACTATATACAAATTTATATACAACAGATTTGCTCAAAAACATTTAATAGGGGTCGCATATAGAATTATGTAACTCTTAATTACAATTGTACATTTGACTACAGTCAAAATAGATGATAATTTGTTTCAATAAATAGTTTCCATGATTAATTCATCATCCTCATAAATGTGATGGTCGGCACACTTGTTAATACAATAACTTTCCTACTTATACTTAAAGTCCTACTTTAGACAAGAAATTTATTTTCCACTCATCAATGGAATGAATCAAGATTTGACGATGGCTACATTTTACTTCAAGTTTAGGAAAACATCTAGAGGGTGCAATGTATAAAAGGTATATATGATGACATTCATCCATGTAAATCATATAAGATTTAACTTTATCAAAATATGCTTTTCAAATTGAAGACATTACAAAGCATAGCTATGTGACTTTTATTTCAAACTCCTCTTTATCTACCCAATCTTCTATGAATTTAGATGTTTTTTAATTTTTAGATCATCACTAAAGAAATCATACTTTTACTATGATGGGAACCAATTATGGCATTACATTACTTTCAGTTTTGGACTACATGTGGTTCTGAACACATTATGGGGTGGATGTGTGTCGTTTGGTGGACACATAAGCTTCCAATACATAATTATTATTTCTTCATAACTTTACGTATTCTAATAAATAATATTTCTAATAATATTTAATATTCTAATAAATAAATATAACCTAAACTATAAAATTCGTGCCATTTAATCCAATACTTGTAGTGTTCATTTATTTAATGATAATTTTTTTATTTTTGGTAAACTATAGTAATTATTCATTGCAACTAAACATTATGATTGTATGAAATAATATTAGATTTCTTCCCTTTAATACTGTATTTTTATGTGCCAGCTTTCTTATAAAGAAGTAATATTCATTATTTATGCATAAAATTTACATTTATGGGTCTAATAATTGTTTCTGATAATTTGTAAGTGTGAATGTACTTAAACATATTATATTCCTGTACTTAATAGGTTACGTCTAAAGTGGTGCCATTTCCAAGGTGAATAAATAGTAGGTACAAAACATTTCTAAAGTTTAAATGTTGGCAATAAATGATACATATTCCTAGCAAAAGTAACTATTATATAAATATCTACTTATACTCACGCCCTCTAAATGATTGTCTTATATTATTATCATTGATTGATATAGTTTCTCTTTTTGCATAAATATTAATTACACACCTTTATCAATAGTTATGATTACATTAAAAAAGTATTAAACACTCCTTGGAATAACAATCTAGACTTCACTTCTTCTATTCACATCTTTATCACTTCTTCACTCATAGATGTATTTACAAGATGTTCCAATTATCAATACTCATCCAAGAATAATATTGATCCTACATTTCCCTTTTTCTATGGCTTGATTTTTGAAGTTTGCACTATATTTCTTCTTTCTTTATATATAATGAATAAGTAGCTTTTCCTATAGACAAATTTCGACAATAAGAATGATGTCTCACACCCTCCATGTCTACTCTTCATTTTCAGGGCTTTCACTCTATCCCCTTATTTTACAGCAAGTGTTTTTCTATACACGATTTTCAACAATGAGAATGATATCTCACACCCTCCATGTGTACTCTTCGTTTCTAGATTTTTCACATTGCTCCCTCTTTTTTTTTTTCGAAATAAGTGATTTCTCCTCACAAGTCCTATAGATCAGGGTGCAAAAATCTCCATTAAACTCAAATGATCAATCAAATTTTCACATCAAGTAAATATTATCCATCAAGATCATGAAGTGAAAATCTGTAAAATCAAATCTATGTTATCTATCATGTATCCAAGGAGTATTCTAACATTTCATGCTACTAGATCATTATTTTGACTCAATAATAATCTTCCTAGTATCTTTTGGTATCAATCAATCTAATTGATTTAATGCATGCAATATGATGTAAGAAATTTGTAAATTAGATAGTTTTGATAGTTCTATTTTCTGTTTTTAGTTCTATTTTAGCAACAATAAATTTGTCAAAAATAAATCAAAACTATCTTCTTTATAGCTGTAATTTCGAATTTTAGTAATATATGTCTAGGGGATTGAAATGTGAGAAAAGGGTCTCTATAATTTAAAATTTCAGGTTGTTTTTTCGTCTGCTGTTTTTGACAGTTTGTTGTTCCTGACAGAAAACCAGAAAATAGTTGTTGCAATTTTTCTGAATTTTTTTTTATTTTTATTTTTTTAGTTGCTGTTCTAAGTTGAATAAAATGCAAACACATGTTCTTAATCGTCTTACAGCATAAATTAATAATGAATACTTCACCCCCCAACTTAAAAATGACGTTGTCCTCAATGACACAGAAAAATCGAAACAGAATATACAGAAAATAGAATTTTCAAGTGAAGCATGCATATCTACAAAGTTAAGCATTAAAAATATTTTCATAAATGATGAAGCTCAGAAAGACATTACCTCAACCTCGTTTTTAATTTTCCACTTCATCTTACACTCCTCCTGCACTTTTTCGAAAAAAACAAATACAGAAATAAGTACTATGAAATTCTAAGAAAAATAGAGCTTTAAAAAAATCAAACAGAATGAAATAAAAACCATGGGTTGCCTCCCATGCAGCGCTGAATTTAATGTCTCCAACTGGACTCCTTGATCTTACTCTTGAATTTCTTCTAATAATAAAATTTCTTTTTCTACAAGGCGTTCATGTTCTATGTAATGTTTAAGCCGCTGTCCATTTACCTTAAAGTTATGATCACTTTTAGGATCTGTAATCATTACAGCCCCATGATCATTTGTCTCTTCAACCACATAAGGCCCTTTCCATTTTGATTTTAATTTTCCTGGGAATAATTTCAGCCTAGAATCATATAACCACACTTTTTGTCCAACATCAATTTTTTTTCTGCTAATGTATTTATCATGAAAAGTTTTAGTTTTTTCTTTATATATTCTATGATTTTCATAAGTTTCATTCCTCAACTCTTCTAGTTCATGTAGCTGAAAAATTCTATGCCCACCAGCTGATTTCTCATCCATACATAAATTTTTTATAGCCCATAATGCTTTATGCTCTATTTCCACAAGAAGATGACATGGCTTTCCAAAAATGAGACGAAATGGAGACATACCTATGGGATTTTTATAAGCTGTATAAGCCCATAATGCATCTTGTAATTTCGTGGGCAAATCTTTCCTATCTAGTTTAACTATTTTTCTCAAAATTCTCTGAATTTCCCTATTTGCTACTTCAGCTTGCCCATTTGTTTGGGGATGATATGGAGTGGCTACTCTATGGTGTACTCCATTCTTTTTCAACAGTTCCCTAAAATGTTTATTTGTAAAATGTGTTCCTTCATCACTAATAATCACTCTAGGACATCCAAATCTCGAAAAAATATTTTCTTGCACAAATTTCATCATGATTTTATGATCATTAGTTCTAGTAGGAATAGCTTCCACCCACTTCGACACATAATCAACAGCAAGCAAAATATATTCATATTTTTCAGCTGATGGGAAGGGACCCATGAAATCTATTCCCGATACATCAAAAATTTTGACTACTAACATGTTACTCAAGGGCATTTCATCTTTTTTACTCATGTTACCTATAGATTGGCATGAAATACATGTTCTACTAAATTCTATAGAATCTCTAATGATTGTAGGCCAATAAAAACCACACTGAAAAATTTTTGCAACTATTTTTCGTCCAGAGAAATGTCCTCCACGGTTAGATGAATGGCACATGTTAATAATGCTATGATATTCTTCTTCAGGAACACATCTCCTTAAAATTTGATCATTGCCCAAGTAATATAAATCAGGATCATGCCAAAAATAATTTCTAATCTTAGAAAAGAAATGATGTTTTCTGTTCTTATCCCACTATTCTGGAGTTTTTCTAGAAACTAGAAAATTAACAATATGTGCATACCATGGTGATGGTTGATGTTGAGCTGCCATCAATTGTTCATCTTGAAATGCGTCTTGTAAAGGTGCTGCATTTATTCCTGTATCACTTAATCTAGAAAGATGGTCAGCAACAACATTCTCGAAACATTTTTTATCTTTTATTTCTAAGTCAAATTCCTGCAACAATAAAATCCATCTTAATAAACGTGGCTTTGCATCTTTCTTATTTAATAGATATTTTAATGCTGCATGATTAGTATAAATAATAATTTTAGCTCCCAAAATATATGATCTAAACCTTTCTAACGAAAATACTACAGCTAACAACTCTTTTTCAGTCGTGGTATAATTTAATTGAGCATCGGGTATAGTTTTACTAGCATATGAAATTACTATGGGTTTTGACTCTTTTGTTTGTCCTAGAACAGCCCCCACTGCATAATTCGATGCATCACACATTATTTCAAAGGGAAGGGACCAATCAGGAGCTTGTAAAATGGGTGCCTCATTAAGTAATCTTTTTATTTCAGAAAAAGACTCAAAGCATTTCTCATCAAAATTAAAAGGCACATCTTTAGATAATAGCATGGTGAGAGGTTTAGAAATGTTCAAAAAATCCTGAATAAATTTTCTGTAATAACCTGCATGACCCAAGAAAGATCTAATCTGTTTTACTGAATTTGGAGGTTTCATTTTAGATATAATATCAATTTTTGCTCTATCCACCTCTAAACCCCTTTCACTCACAATATGACCCAACACAACTCCCTCTTTAACCATAAAATGTGATTTCTCCCAACTCAAAATTAGTTTTTTCTTTATGCATTTCTCAAGTACATGCTGTAAATGATTTAAGCATTCATCAAAAGATTCGCAAAAAATAAAAAAATCATCCATAAAAATCTCCATGCATTTTCCAATCATATCAGAAAAAATAGACAACATACATCTTTGAAATGTGGCTGGAGCATTACACAGACCAAAAGGCATGCGTTTAAAAGCAAAAGTACCAAATGGACAAGTGAAAGTTGTTTTTTCTTGATCTAAAGGGTTTATATAAATTTGATTATAACTAGAGTATCCATCTAGAAAACAAAAAAAGTTTTTTCCAGCTAATTTTTCTAGAATTTGATCAGTAAATGGTAGGGGAAAATGATCTTTTCTAGTAACTGAATTTAATTTTCTATAATCAATGCAAACCCTCCAACCAGTAGTTAATCTTGTTTGTATTTCATCTCCATTTTCATTTTTTATAACTGTGATCCCTGATTTTTTTGGCACCACTTGTGTAGGACTAACCCATTTGCTATCTGAAATAGGATAAATAATATCAGCAGCCAGCCACTTTAAAATTTCTTTTTTTACAATTTCCATCATGTTAGGATTTAATCTTCGTTGTGGTTCCCTGCTAGTTCTAGCCCCTTCCTCTAGATATATACTATGCATGCATACACTCATATCAATGCCCCTTAGATCATCCATTTTCTAGCCCATAGCCTTCTTATTTTTTCGAAGTACATCTAATAATTCTTCTTCCTGTTTATTACTCAAATCAGCTGCAATAATAATAGGAAATGAATTATTTTCCTCCAAAAACATATATTTTAAACTAGAGGGAAGAGGTTTCAACTCTAAATTCAAATGATCTTCCTCTTTCTTTTCTTCTAAATTTATATTCTCTATTTCCTCTAATTCTTCCAGCACACAGTCATCAATAACATCTGGATCATCAAAATCATCTAGAAGATCTATGGTATGACAATCATATACTTGGGATTTCTTAAGATCATTTGATACCTCAAAAATTTTAATTTCTACTGATTGATCTCCACATGAAATTTTCGCAATACCTGTGGAAAAATCAATATTCATCTTTGCTGTATGCAAAAATGGTCTCCCTAGGATGATTGGTGTATCATAAAACTATCCATTAAGATCCATTTCCAGCACTACAAAATCAGCTGGAAATTTACACCCTTTAACTGTCACTATCACATTTTCTAAAATACCTTTAGGATGTTTATGGATCTATCAGCAAATTGTAAGGTAACAGTAGAAGGTTTAAGATCAGAAATATTAAATTTATCACAAATACTTACAGGTAATAAATTAATACTAGCACCGGTGTCAAGTAATGCATTCTAAAAAATGAATCCACCAATATCACATGAAATTAAAGGGGCACCTGTATCTCTCAATTTATATGGTAATTGATTTAATAATAATGCACTAGCATGCATAGATAATTTTTCACCTCTAGGTGCCCTTTTTGGTGTACACATTTCTTTCAAAACTCTAGCATATTCAAGAATATGTTCAATGGTAGTGAGTAAAGGAAAACTAATTTGCACATCTTGTAAAATTTTCTTTATTTTTTCATTGTGTTCCTTTTTCTTTCTTTGTCTAGGCTCTAGAGCTCTAGGAAATGGAATGGTCGTCCTCTCTTTCAAAATTTCCTTGGTAGAATCTATAAAATCTTCTTCTACTCCTATTTGATTTTGTTTTGATTTGTCCACGTTTTCTTTTTCTTCTAATGTTTGGGGGTAAGGATCAAGTAAGATCTTACCACTCCTTAATGCATTCACTGTCCTAACATTTTCATTTCGTGGGTTTTTTCCTAGATTCATGCTACTAGACTCCCCTTGCTGAAATCCTATTGTTGGGCGGTTCCCTGAATTTTCTATGGGCTGACTAGGTAGCTGTCCCTCTTCTCTCTTATTCTCAAGAGCCTCTATAATTTGTTTCTGGTGCAGCATCATTTGATTCATAGTTTGTTGCATCATTTGGCTCATTTGCTGCATCATTTCCATAGCATCAGGTTGGATTTGAGAGGACTCATTTTTCTGAAATCTGTTTTCTTGTTTTGGACAAAATTCAGAGTTTGAATTGGGTCTAAGTGCTTCTGAATTTTGAATATTATTTGGGTCTCTTCATAAAAAATTATTCCTCCAATTCGGATTATAAGAATTTGAAAAAGGTTCCCTGTTTCTATTAAAACTGTGAGCTACTTGCACTTGTTCTTGCATAGGGTGAAATGATTGATCTAAATTATAACATTGAAATTCAGAATAATCATTTTCACCATACATAGGACATGTACTATTCGAATTAAGTTGAGGGTTAAAAGGCTTTCTAATATTATCAATAAGTAAATCAATTTTTTCTAATCTTTGATTAATCTGATTAACCTCATTTCTAAGTTTAGAATCATCATCATGATGCAATTCATAAATTCCTCTCTTCTTATCCCTATCATATAATTCAAAAGAGGCTTGATCTCTAAAATTTTCACTTAAATTCTCATAAAGATTGTAAATCTCATCAAGAGTTTTCTCCATAAAAGCTCCTCCACATATAGAATCAACCATATTTCTATGTTGTTCTAATAATCCATCATTAAAAATTCTATTGAGCTGCCACTTGGGTATAGCATGATGAGGACACTTTCTAAGTAAATCTTTGAATTTTTCTCATGTCTCATGCAAAGTTTCTCCTGGTCTTTGAGAAAAACTCTATATATATTTTCTCATATTTTGAGTTTTTCCTAAGGGATAAAATTTTCAAAGAAAGGCATGTTCTATATCTTTCCAGCTAGTTAATTTTCTATCTAATGTGGATAGCCAATGGCTAGCTTTGTCTCTAAGTGTATGAGGGAATAATTTCATCTTAATAATTTCTGGTGTAACTTGAGGGAGATTAACTAAATCACAGACCATATGAAATTTTTCTAAGTGCTGATGAGGTTCCTCTAAAGGCAATCCATGAAAATTAGGGAGCATTTGAAAAATTCTTGGATTTATTTCGAATTTAATAGTGGGTGCTAATGGGACTCTAATATTAGATGCTCTTTGAAATGAATCAGGGATATAATGATTTTTAATGGCCATAGGATTGTTCTCAGTTTGACCTATACTTCCTTCAAGATCCATTAAAATTAATTTTTCTTTCGGATTTTTATTTTTGAATGAAATAATGAAAGGATTTTCTAGCCTTGGATGCAAGGATCTTCTACCATGCATAAAAATCAATAAATTCGAGGGAAAAAGTTTAGTAACTGTTACCCTCCTTCAGGATGCTCCAGTCCTTGCCTTGCTTCTTTTCGTTCCCTTTTTGTAATAAAAAATTGGCAAAAATAAAATAAAATAAGAGTTAAATTTTTTCTTTTTTTTTGTGTACTCTAAGAGAAAAACAGAAAAATACTAAATATTATGCAATACATCCCCAGCAACAGCACCAAAATTTGACGTGACTTAGTTGTTGTATATTAAATCACGCAAATATTAAATTTATAAAATTAGAAAATACGAATTTTCAGATATTTAGAAGTATTTCTGAACAAATATATCAATTATAATTCAATAAAACTTCCAAAAATAGCGGTAATTTTCTAGGTCAATCACACGGATGTAATATAATATCTGGTAATTATTCAGAATTTTCCTCAGAGAATAATATTATATATGAATTATATACTAAGAAAGGAAAAGGAAATATATTTAAAATTCACGAAAAAAGGAAATAAGGGTGCGGATGTCAGGATGACGTCAGCGCCTGGCAAATGTGAATCGGGCGGAAACAGAGTTCCACCCGGCGATTCTTACGTAAGCGATTACAGACGATTTAATTGATCAAATTAAGATCTGTAAAAGCTGGAAGAATCGTAATAGAACAAAGTATATTTTGGTAAATTAAAATTACAAAAACTATCACTAAATGAAGCGTAAAGTAATTTGAAAGCAGGAAAACAGAGTTCCGACGTCGCGATGGTGATGCGTCGACGATGCACCGGAATCCTAAGCGTTCGGGAGGATCGTTGTGCAGTGTCCACGGCCTCGAAGGCTCTCCTTGGACAAAGACGACATGGGCAATCTCTAGATCTTCTCGCGAAGTCTAGAGATTAATGAAATGGGTCGTCGAATCGTCTCCGGCGGCTGTCACCCGGCAGAGCGGAAAAACGGCGACTTTGCGGCTCTCCAGTGGCTGTCACCCGACGGAGAGGAGCTGGATGGAGGTGGGGCGCGTGTCAGGGAGCTTCATCCTCAGGTCCGCACAGCAAGAGGAGGCTCTTCATCGCATCTAGTACGCTCTCAGGAGGTGGTGACTCGTCTCCTGGCGGATCGTCCTCTTCCCGATGACGGCTTGTTCGTCGATCAATCGGAGATGATTTACTCGATGGATTCGCGATCTTTTTATCGCGAATCATTCAGCAATTTTAGTAGCAATGCTCCGCGAATCGTGTTGACGAGATTTTCGCCGATGATCCAGCGATTCTCGTTGCTTAATCCTTCAGCGGCGATCTGCAGGAAAGTCACGATAATCAGATAAAAATATATGAATTTTGACTCTAGGAGGATTCGAACCCGTGCCGGTCGCCCCGCCTCTTCTGAGGAAGGTGTGACGGGGGTTTAGTCCCACATCGGTTGTGCACCGATTTTTCGGGCGAATATATAGTAATGTTAGCTTTGTAAGTAAAGTCTCTTCTCTCGCGTGTACGACCACTCCTTGCCCCACAGCCGGCTGGCCACCGGTGACGTGGAAGGGGAGTGGCGTACACGTGCCCTATCGGTCCCCAAGCCAAGCCGCTCGAGCCTCTGCTCGCGGCTACTCCCCGACTGCGCTTCCGACCCGCTTGCGGGCTTGGCTGGCCGGCGGGTCTCCCCTCCTTTTGTCTTATTTTTATTTCTTTTTCTTCATTTATCTCAAAAGCAAGACTGTAAAAATCATATAAATTTATGTAAAATTACATAATTACCTAAAAATTCACATTAATCAACTGAAAACAACTTTTCACACTTTGACACAAATATAAGTCTATTTATCATGAGTTAATGCTAAAACTATATTATTTAGTAATTATTAACTCATGATAATGAAGGCTTATCAAAAATGCATAAAAAGAAATGATAGTTCTCCTCAAGATAAATTATGTGCATACACACAAATAGATCAAGTCCTCAAATATCTGCTAGAGACCAGCCAATCACCTCTCTCTATGTCCTAAGTACATCAAGTAATTTATTCTCTTAATCCTTAGACAAATACTTTATTAAGGGACTAGCAATGATTTAAGTTGGGGGGTGTGATAAGTCTTCATTATCATGAGTTAATAATTAGTAAATAATATAGTTTTAGCCTTAACTCGTGATAAATAGACTTATATTTGTGTTAAAGTGTGAAAAGTTGTTTTCAGTTGATTAATGTGATTTTTTGGGTAATTATATGATTTTATACGAATTTATATGATTTTTACAGTCTTACTTTTGAGATAAATGAAGAAAAAGAAATAAAACTAAAATATTGCAAAATGGGGGGACCCGCCGGCCAGCTGGACCCGCAAGCGGGTTGGAAGCGTAGTCGGGGAGTAGCCGCGAGCAAGGGCTCGAGCGGCTTGAACCAATGATGTTGGCAGATGTGCACCACTCCCCTTCCACGTCACTAATGGCCAGCCGGCTGTGGGGCAAGGAGTGGTCATACACGCGCGCTTGATCGGGAATGTAATATTACTTTATATTCGCCAGAAACTTTGGCACACAAGCGATGTGGGACTAAACCCGCGTCACCTTCTTTAGAAAGGGCAGGCAACCGGCGCGGGTTTGAATCCTCCCAGAGCCAAAACTCATATTTTTATCTGATTATCGCGACTTTCCTGCAGATCACCAGTAAAGGATTAAGCAACCAGAATCGCTAGATCATCGGCGAAAATCTCGTCAATGCAATTCGCGGAGCATTGTTACTCAAATTGCTGAAGGATTCGCAATAAAAGGATCGTGAATCAATCGAGTAAATCATCTCCGATTGATCGACGAACAAGCTGTCGTCGGGAAGAGGACAATCCGCCGGGAGACAACTTGCCACCTCCTAAGAGCGTACCAGATGCGATGAAGAGCCTCCTCTTGCTGCGTGGACCTGAGAATGAAGCTCCCTGACACGCGCCCCATCTTCATCCAGCTCCTCTCCGTCGGGTGACAGCCGCCGGAGAGCCGCAAAGTCGCCGTTTTTCCGCTTCGCCGGGTGACAGCCGCCGGAGACGATTCGACGACCCATTTCATTAATCTCTAGACTTCGTGAGAAGATCTAGAGATTGCCCACGTCGTCTTTGTCCAAGGAGAGCCTTCGAGGCCGTGGACACTGCACGACGATCCTCCCGAACACTCAGAATTCTTGTACATCGCTGACGCATCGCCGCCGCGATGTCGGAACTCTGTTTTCCTGCTTTCAACTTAATTTTTGTTTCATTTAGTGATAATTTGTTGATTTTAAATTTGCCAACATATACTTCATTTCATTACGATTCTTCCGTCTTTTACAGATCTTAATTTGATCAATTAAATCATCTTTAATCGCTTAGGTAAGAATCACTAGGCGGAACTCTATTTCCGCCAAAATTCGCATTCGCCGGGCACTGACATCATCCTGACGCCTGCACCCTTGTTTCTTGTGAATTTTAAATATATTTCCTTTTCATTTCCTAGTATAAAATTCATAGAAAATCGTATTCATTGAGAAACAAGTCTGAATAATTATCAAATATTATATTACATCCCTATGATCGACTTGGAAAATTACTGCTATTTTTGGAAGTTTTATTGAATTATAATTGATACATTTGTTCAGAAATACTTCTAAATATCTAAAAAATCGTATTTTCTAGTTTTATAAATTTTAAATTTCCGTGATTTAATATACAATGATTGAGTCACGTCAAATTTTGGCGCCATTGCTGAGGATGTATTACATAATATTTAGTATTTTTCTGTTTTTCTCTTAGAGTACACAAAAAAAAATTAACTCTTATTTTATTTTCTTTTTGCCGAATTTTTTTTTTTAGAAAAAGGGAACGAAAAGAACCAAGGCAAGGACTGGAGCATACTGAAGGAGGGTAACAATTAATAAACTTTTCTCTCGAATTTATTGATTTTTTATGCATGGTAGAAGATCCTTACATCCAAGGCTAGAAAATCCTTTCATTATTTCATTCAAAACTAAAAATCCAAAATAAAAATTAATTTTGATAGATCTTGAAGAAAGTACAAGTCAAATTGAGAACAATCCTATGGCCATGAAAAATTATTATATCCCTGATTCATTTCAAAGAGCATCCAATATTAGAGTCCCATTAGCACCCAATTTTAAATTCGAAATAAATCTAGGGATTTTTCAAATGCTCCTTAATTTTCATGGATTGCCTTTAAAAGAACCTCATCAGTACTTAAATAAATTTCATATGGTCTATGATTTACTTAATCTCCCTCAAGTTACACCGGTAATTATTAAGATGAAATTATTTCCTCATACACTTAGGGACAAAGCTAGCCATTGGCTATCCACATTAGATAGAGAATTAATTAACTAGAAAGACATAGAACAGGCCTTTCTTCGAAAATTTTATCCCTTAGGAAAAACTCAAAATATGAGAAAACATATATGGAATTTTTCTCAAAGACTAGGAGAAACTTTACATGAGACATGGGAAATATTCAAAGATTTACTTAGAAAGTGTCCTCATCATGCTATACCCAAGTGGCAGCTCAATAGAATATTTTATGATGGATTATTAGAACATAGAAATATGGTTGATTCTATATGTGGAAGAGCTTTTATGGAGAAAACCCCTGATGAGATTTACAGTCTTTATGAGAATTTAAGTGAAAATTCTAGAGATCAAGCCTCTTTTGAATTATATGACAGGGATAAGAAGAGAGGAATTCATGAATTACATCATGATAATGATTCTAAATTTAGAAATGAGGTTAATCAGATTAATCAAAGATTAGAAAAACTTGATTTACTTATTGACAATATTAGAAAGCCTCTTAACCCTCAATTTAATTCAAATAGTACATGTCCTATGTATGGTGAAAATGATCACTTCGAATTTCAATATCATCTTAGGCAAGAACAAGTACAGGTACCCCATGATTTTAGTAAAAATAGGGAATATTTTTCTAATTCTTATAATCCTAATTGGGGGAATACTTTTTCGTGGAGAAACCCAAATAATATTCAAAATCTAGAAGTACATAGATTCAATTCAAATTTTGAATTTCGTCCAAAATAGGAACATAGATTTCAGAAAAATCAGCCCTCTCAGACCCAACCTAATACTATAGATATGATGCAGCAAATGAGCCAAATGATACAAAAAATTATAAATCAAATGATGCTGCACCAGAAACAAATTATAGAGGCTCTTAGGAATAAGAGAGAAGAGGGACAGCTACCTAGTCAGCCCATAGAAAATTCAGGAAACTGTCCAACAGTAAGATTTCAGCAAGGAGAGTCTAGCTGGATAAATTTAGAAAAAAACCCACGAAATGAAAATTTTAGGTCAGTGAATACATAGAGTGAGAATATTTTACCTGATCCTTATTTCCAATTATTAGAAGAAATTGATGAGCCATTAGAAGTAAATGAGAATATTAATGCTGAAAATATAGTACCAGAAAATTTGAATAAAAACATTTATTACTCACAATTGATGAATGAATATAGTGAGGATGATGAGGAGAAAGAGCCCTTAGATGAAAAAACAGCAGTTGATCATGAAAAAATCATCCAAATTTTAGTAGAAGGGAGTATGGACAGAAATGAAGAAAAACATATTTCAGGTGAGGAAAAATCAGTTGATTTGGGAGACGTAGGAGACGAAATTAATAAATATAATCATAATTTTGTAGCCTTGGATGTTGATTGTGAGGATGATGATGTATATCATATACCAAAATTAAAAGATAGCTCTTGGGAAGATGAAGAATTTGATGAGTTGAGAAACGAAAAGATAGAAAAAGAGTTGATTCAACTAATGGGGAGAAACGAAAATAATGGATATGAATATAGAGATAATTTTGGAAGAAAAAATTTGAATTTTACTGAATTTATTAGATCTAAGATTAAAGAAGACAATCCTTCCATCCTTCAAAACCCACAGCCCATTAGAATTACTTCTAAGTTTGAAATATTTCACTCCTTGCAAATTGAACAAATATGTATGGAAGATAAAATGGGACAGGGGAAGATTATGCAGATAAAACAACACATTAAGAAATGGGTGAGTGGAAGAATTAGAGATATCAATTTAGATGAAAAAATTCTAGATTGGGTAGGAGCTAATTTGAAAATTATATGGCCTGATCACATTTTATGGTCTATTAATAGAAAGTATTTATTAATGAATGAGAGCCTTACAAAACAAGATAGAAATAAGGAAAGATTCTTTTCAAACTGGAAATATTATTTTTCAGAAAATTTTGTTAATTTCCATTTTGTTTTGGCTGAAAGTATGTCAAGGTATATATATGAAGTATATGAATTTATGCTAAATCTGAAAAAGATTATCATGAAACTTACCTTGGGATAAAAATATATTTTGATGGGCATAGATCATCTTATATGATCTAAGAGCTGTCCAGCTGAAGACATTAAATTCAGCGCTGCATGGGAGGCAACCCATGGTTTTTATTTCATTCTGTTTGATTTTTTTAAGCTCTATTTTTCTTAGAATTTCGCAATACTTGTTTCTGTATTTGTTTTTTCGAAAAAGTGCAGGAGGAGTGTAAGACGAAGTGAAAAATTAAAAACGAGGTTGAGGTGATGTCTTTCGGATCTTTATCATTTATGACAACATTTTTAATGCTTAACTTTGCATATATGCATGCTTCACTTGAAAATTATATTTTCTGTATTTTTTATTTCAAGTTTTCTGTTTCATTGAGGACAATGTAATTTTTAAGTTGGGGGGTGAAGTATTCATTATTAATTTATGCTGTAGGACGATTAAGAACATGTGTTTGCATTAGAACAACAACTGAAAAACTAAAAAATAAAATAAAATTCAGAAAAACTACAACATCTATTTTCTGGTTTTCTGTCAGGAACAACAGACTGTCAAAAACAACAAACAAAAAACAGCCCGAAATTTGAAATTCTAGAGACCCTTTTCTCACATTTCAATCCCTTAGACATATATTACTGAAATTCGAAATTACAGCTATAAAGAGGATAGTTTTGATTTATTTTTGACAAATTTATTGTTGCTAAAAACAGAACTAAAAATAGAAAATAGAATTGTCAGAACTATCTAATTTACAAATTTCTTACATCATATTGCATGCATGAAAAATTAAATCAATTAGATTGATTGATACCAAAAGATACTAGGAAGATTATTATTCAGTCAAAAGAATGATCTAGTAGCATGAAATGTTGGAATACTCCTTGGATACATGATAGATAACATGGATTTGATTTTACAGATTTTCACTTCATGATCTTGATGGATAGTATTTACTTGATTTGAAAATTTGATTGATCATTTGAGTTTTAATAAAGATTTTTGCACCCTGATCTATAGGACTTATGAGGAGAAATCACTTATTTTGAAAAAAAAAAAGAGAGAGAGCAATGTGAAAAATCTAGAAACGAAGAGTACACATGGAGGGTGTGAGACATTATTCTCATTGTCGAAAATCGTGTATAGAAAAACACTTGCTGTAAAATAAGTGGATAAAGTGAAAGCCCTGAAAATTAAGAGTACATATGGAGGGTGTGAGACATCATTCTCATTGTCGAAATTTGTCTACATGAAAAGCTACTTATCCACTATAAAAGAAGGAAGAAATATAGTGCAAACTTCAAAAATCAAGCCATGAAAAAAGGGAAATGTAGGATCAATATTATTCTTGGATGATTATTGATAATTGGAACATCTTGTAAATATATATATGAGTGAAGAAGTGAAGTGATAAAGATGTGAATAGAAGAAGTGAAGTCTAGATTGTTATTCCAAGGAGTGCTTAAACATTTAAGTGCTTGACATCACCCGCTCCTCTTTTACGTTCTGCCATTAGGTACGGATCTCCAATTACATTTCTCTCTGGGGTCTGACGTAAATTGTGCCAATTTCTGTTCACGATGTCCATTGAAATGTCGTCGAATCCGTGTGGGCCACGTGTCCCACATCTGCTTAAGTCTCATGCTAACTCGTCGGTTCTGCTTCCACTGTCGACCTGTTGATGGTTTAACTTTTAGCCTCTGAATATTCCGGCCCATTGGGTCACTTGGCTCGGCCCAGCCCAACTCATTCTGATTTTCTTTTATTTTAGACCTTTATTAATTCCTAAAAAATATCAAAAACTCTTAGAAATTATGAGAAATTCTAGAAAAATTCAGAAAATCCAGAATAAATTCTATAAAATCCTAAAACTCACATAAAAAATATTTCATGCATAATTATTTAAAATTAATTATCTTAAAATAATATTAAAAATATTAAAATGCATGTTTATGTATGAATGAAATCTGAATACGTACGAATTAAATGTAACATGTATTATTTCTATTAATTTTATGCACTAAATATTGATAAATATAAGGTAAATACAGATAATGAAGACTTATCAACCACAACATAATAACTAGACTAAGATGATCTAGTTCAATCGTTTTCGTCCACAATATACTATCATTAGCCATTTATTGTCGCACCACATACCCATGAATACAACCTAAAACTCCTTCATACTTCAAAGAATAATGATCATGGTAAAGAATTCACCTATCTTTTTTTCATGAGATCCACACCCCTAATCTAGAGAAGGTAAACTTTTCTAATTGACTTACCCTTTCAAAGGAGCATTAGGCTTTGTTCGTTTAAGCATACGTGTTTGTGCAATAATCAATGCAGAAAAAGTTTTAAAATATTCATAACATTTTTGAATTTTTTTTGTTCTCCCCCCTACTTGAATGATGCATTATCTCTAATGCATGCAAATGAAGGAAGAGATAACCTCCCTCCTACTTAAGTCTTGCATTGTCCTTAATGCATGTGAGAGAAGGGAAAAGAGAAGAAAATTCTGATTTTTATGCCCCATCTACTACACCATTGCCCCTGAATGGTTCTAACTAAAGCACTCGACCAATAAAATATGTCTAAAAAAAAAGCTAGAAAGGAAATGCATAAAAAGAAATGATAGTTCTCCTCAAGATAAATTATGTGCATACACACAAATAGATCAAGTCCTCAAATATCTACTAGAGACCAGCCAAGCACCACTCTCTATGCCCTAAGTACATCAAGTAATTTATTCTCTTGATCCTTAGACAAATACGATGATATAATCATTGGATAAGCTTGATGTTAATCAAAAAATGCATACTTTAGTGAAGATGGTTGATAAGTCTTCATTATCATGAGTTAATAATTAATTAATAATATAGTTTTAATCTTAACTCATGATAAATAGACTTATATTTATGTCAAATTATGAAAAATAGTTTTTAGTTGGTTAATTTGGCTAATTATGGGATCTTGTGTGAATTTATATAATTTTTATAATCTTATTTTTGAGGTAAATGAAGACAAAAAAAATAAAAAGATAGAAGAAAGAGAAAACTTGCCACCTAGTCGAGCCCACAAGTAGGTTGGAAGCATAGACAAGCGGAATCGTGAGTAAGGGCTTGAGCGGCTAAAGACAGACTGATAGGGGACACATGTGCATCACTCCCCTTCCACATCATCAATGGCTAGTCGGGCATGTGACAAAGAGCGGCCGTACACATGTGAGAAAGGGACACATTGATTATCAAGTCTAGTATTACTATATATCAACCTCAAAACTCGGCATATAATAAAATGTGGGACTAAACGTGGGGTCATAGTCTCCGAAAAGTTTTAATAATTTTAATACCTAAAATATCCCTTGTTTAGTAAACCACACAAATTTAAAATTTATAAAACTAGAAAATACTAATTTTTAGATATTTAGAAGTATTTTTAAATAATTATATCAATTATAATTTAATCAAAGTTCTAAAAATAGTGGAAAGTTTCTAGGTCAATCACAGGGATGTAATATAATATCAAGTAATATTTCAGAAATGTTCTCAAAGAATATGATTTTTTATGAATTTTAAACTAAAAATCAATAAAGAAAATATATTTAAAATTTGTGAAAAAGGGAAATAAAGGTGTAGATGTCAAGATGATGTCAGCACCTAACGAATGCGAACCAGGCAGAAGTAGAATTCTGCCTGGTGATTTTTACATAAGCGATTATAGACGATTTAATTAGTCAAATTAAGATCTGTAAAAGCTAGAAGAATCATTACAAGAAGTATTTTGCAAGCCTTGTTGATCCTAATTTCACATGTGGAAGCCCCACGAAATCAGCTAAGGCGCTACTACGATTTTTATTTTATTTTTTCTAGTGTAATCTTTACCATGTTCTATCCTTTTCTCTCAAGTTTAATCATGATTAATGATTTTTAAAAGCATTAACTAATTTGAAAACTTTTCAACCGACTACTGATCAAGAAAGAGAAGGATTCAATTTACTACTCATAGTTAATAATAAGAATTCATAACATAAATCCGGCAGAAGATCAAAGTAGATTTTCTCAATTTAAGAGTGTGGGTTATATGCACCGTGAAAGATCATGAACTTCATCATTTAGTTATAAGCATTATAGCACCTGATGTAATCTCATGTATTCACCCTCATGCATTTATTCTTCCCCCCCAAACAACCATTCGCATTGTCCTTAATGCATCTATATAAGAGAAAAAGGAGAAAGCATTAAATGTGCAAACTGATTTTCACTCTTCATCCTTCTGATTTTCTTTTGTATTAATCCGTGTCATGATATGCACTTCCTCTAGAACGCTGGATCTGTTCGCTTAATAAAAACTCAAGAGAAACATCAAAGGATAGAGAAAAATAATAAAAAGGGAATGTAGTGGAAAAGAAAGCTATGCCATCTTAGAGTACATGATGGAGGGGAAGTTATAAGAAGATTGAGGTTCAATGGATGGATCATATAATTGAGTGCAAATGGGTAAAGAAGGAGGGTTCGTTTCTAAATAAGGTTTTAATCTTTGCCCATTCACATTAAAATTTTTACCAGTTTTTAGATCTGCAATTAATACTGCACCACAGTCAAAAACTTTAATCACAAGGTATGGTCCATCCCATCTAGATTTTAATTTCTCGAGGAATAGTTTCAATCGAGAATTGTAAAGCCCCTCTTTTTGATGCTCATGAAAACTCTTTCTGCTCACCTTCTTGTTATAAAAAGCCTTCATTTTTGCTCTGTAAATCAGAGACTTCTCGTACATCTCATTGGGTAGTTCTTGAAGCTCTTGCAACTACAACATACGGTGCTTACCTACGGCGTCTAAAGAGAGATTAAGATTCTTTATAGCCTAATAAGCCTTATGTTCGATCTTCATAGGAAGGTGACAAACCTTTTGATGCGACTTAGTCGTTGTATTGTAAATCATGTAAATTTAAAAATTATAAAACTAGAAAATACTAATTTTTAAATATTTAGAAATATTTCTGAACAAATATATCAATTATAATTTAATAAAATTTACAAAAATAGTGGTAATTTTCTAAGTCGATCAGAAGGATATAATATAATATTGGGTAATTTTTTAGTATTTTCCTCAAAGAATATAATATTTTCTGAATTTTATACTAAGAAATGAAAATAAAATCTATTTAAAATTCGTGAAAAAAGGAAATAAGGGTGCGGATGTTAGGCTGACGTCAGCATCTAACAAATGCGAATCATCAGAAACAGAGTTCCACCTAGTGATTCTTACGTAAGCGATTACAAATGATTTAATTGATCAAATTAAGATCTGTAAAAGGCGGAAGAATCGTAATTGAATGAAATATAGTTTGGTAAATTTAAATCACACAAATTATCAGTAATGAAGTACAAATTAAGTTGAAAGTAGAAAAATAAAGTTCTAGCATCGCGACGGTAATCTATCGACGATGCACGGAAATTCTGAGCATTCGGGAAGATTGTCGTGTAGTGTCCACGGCCTCGAAGGCTCTCTTTAGACAAGGATGACATGGGCAATTTGAAGATATCCTTGCGAAGTCTAGAGATCAATGAAATGGGTCGTCGAATCGTCTCTGGTAGTTGTCACTCAGCGGAGTGGAAAAATGATGACTTTGTGGCTCTCTAGTGGCTGTCACTAACGTGACTTAGTCATTGTATATTAAATCACGTAAATATAAAATTTATAAAACTAGAAAATATGAATTTTCAGATATTTAAAAGTATTTTTGAACAAATATATCAATTATAATTCAATAAAACTTTCAAAAATAGTAGTAATTTTCCAGGTTGATCACAGGGATGTAATATAATATTTGGTAATTATTCAGAATTGTCGGCAAAGAATACTATTTTCTATGAATTTTATACTAAGAAATGAAAAGAAAATATATTTAAAATTCACAGAAAAAGGAAATAAGGGTGCAGATGTCAGGATGACGTCAGCACCCGGCGAATGCAAATTGGGCAAAAATAGAGTTCCGCCCGGCGATTCTTACGTAAGCGATTACAGATGATTTAATTGATCAAATTAAGATCTGTAAAACCGGAAGAATCGTAATTGAACGAAGTATATTTTGATAAATTAAAATCACACAAATTATCACTAAATGAAGCGTAAAGTAAGGTGAATGCATGAAAATAGAGTTCTGGCGTCGCAGCGGTGATACGTCGGCAATGCACCAGAATCCTGAGTGTTCAGGAGGATAGTCATGCAGTGTCCATGGCCTTGAAGGCTCTCCTTGGACAAGGACAATGTGGGTAATCTCTAGATCTCCTTGCAAAGTCTAGAGATCAATGAAATGAGTCGTCGAATCATCTCCGGCGGCTGTCACCGGGTAGAGTAGAAAAACGGCGACTTTGTGGCTCTCCGATGGCTGTCACCTGACAGTGAGGAGCTAGATGGGGGTGGGGTGCGTGTCAGGGAGCTTCATCCTCAAGTCCGCGCAGCAAGAGGAGGCTCTTCATCGCATCTAGTATGCTCTCAGGAGGTGGCGACTTGTCTCTCGGCGGATCATCCTCTTCCCGATGACGGCTTGTTCATCGATAAATCAGAGATGCTTTACTTGATGGATTCACGATCCTTGTATTGCGAATTGACGTGACTCAGTCATTGTATATTAAATCATGCAAATCTAAAATTTATAAAACTAGAAAATACGATTTTTCAGATATTTAGAAGTATTTCTGAACAAATGTATCAATTATAATTCAATAAAACTTCCCCAAATACTAGTAATTTTCTTGGTCGATCACAATGATGTAATATAATATTTGGTAATTATTCAGATTTTTTCTCAATGAATACAATTTTCTATAAATTTTATACTAGGAAATGAAAAAGAAATATATTTAAAATTCACGAAAAAAGGAAATAAGGGTGCGGACGTCAGAATGACGTTAGTGCCCGACGATCGCGAATCGGGAAAAAACAGAGTTCCACCCGGTGATTCTTATGTAAGCGATTACAGACGATTTAATTGATCAAATTAAGATCTGTAAAAGCCAGAAGAATCGTAATTGAACGAAGTATATTTTGGTAAATTAAAATCACACAAAGTATCACTAAATGAAGCGTAAATTAAGTTGAAAGCAAGAAAACAGAGTTCCGACATCGTGGCGGCGATGCGTCGGCGATGCATCGGAATCGTGAGCGTTTGGGAGGATTGTCTTGTAGTGTCCACAGCCTCGAAGGCTCTCCTTGGACAAAGATGACGTGGGCAATCTCTAGATCTCCTTGAGAAGTCTAGAGATTAATGAAATGGGTCGTTGACTCGTCTTCGGCGGCTGTCACCTGGCGGAGCGGAAAAACGGCAACTTTGCGGCTCTTCGGCGATTGTCACCCGACGGAGAGGAGCTGGATGGAGGTGGGGCGCATGTCAAGGAGCTTCATCCTCGGGTCTGCGCAGCAAGAGGAGGCTCTTCATTGCATCTGGTACGCTCTCAAGAGGTGGCGACTCGTCTCCCAACAAATCGTCCTCTTCCTGACGACGGCTTGTTTGTCGATCAATCGGAGATGCTTTACTCGATGGATTCCCGATCCTTTTATCGTGAATCGTTCAGCATGTTTAGTAACAATGCTCCGCGAATCGTGTTGACGAGATTTTCACCGATGATCCAACGATTCTAGTTGCTTAATCCTTCACTGGCGCTCTGCAAGAAAGTCGCGATAATCAAATAAAAAATATGAGTTTTGCCTCTGGGAGGATTCGAACCCGCACCGGTTGCCTGCCCTTTCTGGGGAAGGTGACGCGGGTTTAGTCCCACATCGGTTGTGCGCCAAAGTTTCTGGTGAATATAAAGTAATATTACATTCCCGATCAAGCGTGCGTGTACGACCACTCCTTGCCCCACAGCCGACTGGCCACCGGTGACGTGGAAGGGGAGTGGCGTACACGTTCCCCCATCGGTTCAAGCCGCTTGAGCCCCTGCTTGCGGCTATTTCCTAACTGCGCTTCCGACCCGCTCGCGGGTCTGGCTGGCCGGCGGGTCCCCCCATTTTGCAATATTTTTTGTTTTAATTCTTTTTCTTCATTTATCTCAAACGTAAGACTGTAAAAAGCATATAAATTTGTATAAAATCACATAATTACCTAACAAATCACATTAATCAACTAAAAACCACTTTTCACACTTTAACACAAATATAAGTCTATTTATCATGAGTTAAGGCTAAAACTATATTATTTACTAATTATTAACTCATGATAATGAAGACTAATCACGAATTGTTCAGCAATTTTAGTAACAATGCTCTGCGAATCGCATTGACGAGATTTTCACCGATGATCCAGCAATTCTGGTTGCTTAATCCTTCACCAACGATCTACAGGAAAGTCGCGATAATCAGATAAAAAAGATGAGTTTTGGCTCTGGGAGGATTCGAACCCACGGTGGTTGCCCCGCCCCTTTTGAAAAGGTGACACAGGTTTAGTCCTACATCGGTTGTGCGTCAAATTTTCGGACGAATATATAGTAATGTTAGATTTCTAAGCAAGTCCCTTTCTCACACGTGTATGACCACTCCTTGCCCCACAGCCGGCTGGCCACCGATGATGTGGAAGGGGAGTGGCGCACACGTGCCCCCATCGGTTCAAGCCGCTCGAGCCCCTGCTCGCGGCTACTCCCCGACTACACTTCCGACCCGCTTGCCCCGACTGGCTGGCAGGTCCCCCGATTTTGCTATATTTTTATTTTAATTTCTTTTCCTTTATTTATCTCAAAAGTAAGATTGTAAAAATCTTATAAACTCACATAATTACCTAAAAAATCACGTTAATCAACTGAAAACCACTTTTCACACTTTAACACAAATATAAGTCTATTTATCATGAGTTAAGGTTAAAACTATATTATTTACTAATTATTAACTCATGATATTAAAGACTTATCACACCCCCCAACTTAAATCATTGCTAGTCCCTTAGCAATGGAATTACGAAAATAAAAATTTACAAATCTCAAACATCATATTTCAATATAGAAAGAAAAAAAATACAATTAGAAATGATGCACCTTTAGACACTTTGGACTCTTATATCAAGTATTTAAGAATGATGTCAAGCACTTAGATGTTTAAGTACTCCTTGGAATAACAATCTAGACTTCACTTCTTGTATTCACATCTTTATCACTTCTTCACTCATAGATATATTTACAAGATGTTCCAATTATCAATAATCATCTAAGAATAATATTGATCCTACATTTCCCTTTTTCCATGGCTTGATTTTTGAAGTGTGCACTATATTTCTTCCTTCTTTTTTTTTGATATATATAGTGGATAAGTAGCTTTTCCTGTAGACAAATTTTGACAATAAGAATGATGTCTCACACCCTCCATGTGTACTCTTCATTTTCAGGGCTTTCACTTTATCCACTTATTTTGCAGTAAGTGTTTTTCTATACATGATTTTCGACAATGAGAATAATGTCTCACACCCTCCATGTGTACTCTTCGTTTCTAGATTTTTCACATTGCTCCCTCTTTTTTTCAAAATAAATGATTTCTCCTCACAAGTCTTATAGATCTGGGTGCAAAAATCTCTATTAAACTCAAATGATCAATCAAATTTTCACATCAAGTAAATACTATCCATCAAGATCATGAAGTGAAAATCTGTAAAATCAAATCCATATTATCTATCATGTATCCAAGGAGTATTCCAACATTTCATGCTACGAGATCATTCTTTTGACTCAATAATAATCTTCCTAGTATCTTTTGGTCAATCAATCTAATTGATTTAATTTTTCATGCATGCAATATGATGTAAGAAATTTGTAAATTAGATAGTTCTGACAATTCTATTTTCTATTTTTAGTTCTATTTTTAGCAACAATAAATTTGTCAAAAATAAATCAAAACTATCCTCTTTATAGTTGTAATTTCGAATTTCAGTGATATATGTCTAGGGGATTGAAATGTGAGAAAAGGGTCTCTAGAATTTCAAATTTCAGGCTGTTTTTTGTCTGTTGTTCCTAACAGAAAATCAGAAAATAGATATTGCAGTTTTTATGAATTTTATTTATTATTTTTTTTTTCAGTTGCTGTTCTAATGCAAACACATGTTCTTAATCATCCTACAGCATAAATTAATAATGAATACTTCACCCCCCAACTTAAAAATGACATTGTGCTCAATGACACAGAAAATAAAAACAGAATATGTAGAAAATATAATTTTCAAGTGAAGCATGCATATGTGCAAAGTTAAGCATTAAAAATATTTTCATAAATGATAAAACTCAGAAAGACATCACCCCAACCTCGTTTTTAATTTTCCACTTCATCTTACACTCCTCCTCCTGCACTTTTTCGAAAAAACAAATATAGAAACAAGTACTGCAAAATTCTAAGAAAAATAGAGCTTAGAAAAAAATCAAACAGAATGAAATAAAAACCATGTGTTGCCTCCCATGTAGCACTAGATTTAATATCTTCAGCTGGACAGCTCTTAGATCATATAAGATGATCTATGGCCATCAAAATATATTTGTATCCCTAGGTAAGTTTCATGATATTCTTTTTCAGATTTAGCATAAATTCATATACTTCATATATATACCTTGACATACTTTCAGCCAAAAAAAAATGGAAATTAACAAAATTTTCCCAAAAATAATATTTCCATTTTGAAAAGAATCTTTCCTTATTTCTATCTTGTTTTGTAAGGCTCTCATTCATTAATAAATACTCTTTCTATTAATAGACCATAAAATGTGATCAGGCCATATAATTTTCAAATTAGCTCTTACCCAATCTAAATTCTTTTCATCTAAATTGATATCTCTAATTCTTCCACTCACCCATTTCTTAATGTCTTCTTTTATCTACATAATCTTCCCCTGCTCCATTTTATCTTCCATACATATTTGTTCAATTTGCGAGGAGTGAAATATTTCAAGCTTAGAAATAATTCTAATGGGCTCTGGGTTTTGAATGATGGAAGGATTACCTTCTTTAATCTCAAATCTAATGAATTCAGTAAAATTCAAATTTTCTCCTCCAAAATTATCTCTATATTCATATTCATTATTTTCGTTTCTCTCCATTAGTTGAATTAACTCTTTTTCTAGTTTTTCATTTCTCAACTCATCAAATTCTTCATCTTCCCAAGAGCTATCTTTTAATTTTGGTATATGATATACATCATCATCCTCACTATCAACATCCATGGCTGCAAAATTATGATTAGGTTTATTAATTTTGTCTCCTACATCTCCCAAAACAACTGATTTTTCCTCACCTGAAATATGTTTCTCTTCATTTCTGTCCTTACTCCCTTCTACTAAAATTTGGATGATTCTTCCAGCTGCTATTTCTTCATCTAAAGGCTCTTTCTCCTCATCATCCTCACTATATTCATTCATCAATTGTGAGCAATAAATGATTTTATTCAAATTTTCTGCTATTATATTTCTAGCCTTAATATTCTCATTTACTTCTAATGGCTCATCAATTTCTTCTAATAATTGGAAATAAGGATTAGGTAAAACATTCTCACTCAATGTATTCACTGTCCTAACATTTTTATTTCGTGGGTTTTTTTCTAAATTTATCCAGCTAGACTCTCCTTGCTGAAATCCTACTATTGGACAGTTTCCTGAATTTTCTATGGGCTGACTAGGTGGCTGTCCCTCTTCTCTCTTATTCCCAAGAGTTTCTATAATTTGTTTCTAGTGCAGCATCATTTGATTCATAGTTTGTTGCATCATTTGGCTCATTTGCTGCATCATTTCCATAGTATCAGGTTGGGTTTGAGAGGGCTGATTTTTTTGAAATCTGTTTTCTTGTTTTGGACGAAATTCAGAGTTTGAATTGGGTCTAAGTGCTTCTGAATTTTGAATATTATTTGGGTCTCTTCATAAAAAATTATTCCTCCAATTAGGATTATAAGAATTTGAAAAAGGTTCCCTATTTCTATTAAAACCGTGAGCTACTTGCACTTGTTCTTGCCTAGGGTGAAATGATTGATCTAAATTATAGTATTGAAATTTAGAATAATCATTTTCACCATACATAGGACATGTACTATTTGAATTAAATTGAGGGTTAAGAGGCTTTCTAATATTGTCAATAAGTAGATCAAGTTTTTCTAATCTTTGATTAATCTGATTAACATCATTTCTCAATTTAGTCATCATGATGCAATTCATAAATTCTTCTCTTCTTATCCTTGTCATATAATTCAAAAGAGGCTTGATCTCTAGAATTTTCACTTAAATTTTCATAAAGACTGTAAATCTCATCAGGGGTTTTCTCCATAAAAGCTCCTCCACATATAGAATCAACCATATTTCTATGTTGTTCTAATAATCCATCATAAAAAATTCTATTGAGCTGCCACTTTGGTATAGCATGATGAGGACACTTTCTAAGTAAATCTTTGAATTTTTCCCATGTCTCATGCAAAGTTTCTCCTGGTCTTTGAGAAAAATTCCATATATGTTTTCTCATATTTTGAGTTTTTCCTAAGGGATAAAATTTTCGAAGAAAGGCCTGTTCTATGTCTTTTCAGCTAGTTAATTCTCTATCTAATGTGGATAACCAATGGCTAGCTTTGTCCCTAAGTGTATGAGGAAATAATTTCATCTTAATAATTTCCGGTGTACCTTGAGGGAGATTAACTAAATCAAAAACCATATGAAAATTTTCTAAGTGCTGATAAGGTTCCTCTAAAGGCAATCTATGAAAATTAGGGAGCATTTGAAAAATTCCTAGATTTATTTCGAATTTAACAGTGGGTGCTAATGGGACTCTAATATTGGATGCTCTTTGAAATGAATCAGGGATATAATAATTTTTCATGGCCATAGGATTATTCTCAGTTTGACCTGTACTTTCTTCAAGATCTATCAAAATTAATTTTTTTCTTTCGGATTTTTAGTTTTGGATGAAATAATAGAAGGATTTTCTAGCCTTGGATGCAAGGATCTTCCACCATGTATAAAAAAAATCAATAAATTCGAGGGAAAAAAGTTTAGTAATTGTTACCCTCCTTCAGTATGCTCCAGTCCTTGCCTTGCTTCTTTTCGTTCCCTTTTTCTAAAAAACAATTTCGGCAAGAAAAAAATTAAACAAGAGTTAATTTTTTTTTTTTTGTACTTTAAGAAAAAAACAGAAGAATACTAAATGTATGCAATACATCTCCGGCAATGGCGCCAAAATTTGATGTGACTTAGTCGTTGTATATTAAATCACGCAAATATAAAATTTATAAAACTAGAAAATATGAATTTTCAGATATTTAGAAGTATTTCTGAACAAATATATCAATTATAATTCAATAAAACTTCCAAAAAAACACTAATTTTCCAGGCCAATCACAAGGATGTAATATAATATCTGGTAATTATTCAGAAGTTTTGCAAAGAATACTATTTTCTATGAATTTTATACTAGGAAATGAAAAGGAAATATATTTAAAATTCACGGAAAAAGAAAATAAGGGTGCGGACGTCAGGATGACGTCAGCGCCTGACAAATGCGTATCAGGCGGAAACAGAGTTCTACCCGACGATTCTTAGGTAAGCGATTACAGATGATTTAATTGATCAAATTAAGATCTGTAAAAGCCGGAAGAATCGTAATTGAACGAAGTACATTTTGGTAAATTAAAATCACACAAATTATCACTAAATGAAGCGTAAAGTAAGGTGAAAGTAGGAAAGCAGAGTTCCAGCATCGCGGCGGTGATGCATCGGCAATGCACTGGAATTCTGAGCATTCAGGAGGATAGTCGTGTAGTGTCTACAGCCTTGAAGGCTCTCTTTGGACAAGGACGATGTGGGCAATCTCTTGATCTCCTTGCAAAGTCTAGAGATCAATGAAATGGGTCGTCAAATCATCTCTAACGGCTATCACCCGGCGGAGCGGAAAAAGGGCGACTTTGCGACTTTGCTGTTACCTGACAGAGAGGAGCTGGATGGAGGTGAGGCGCGTGTCAAGGAGCTTCATCCTCAAGTTCGTGCAGCAAGAGTAGGCTCTTCATCGCATCTGGTATGCTCTCAGGAGGTGGCGACTCATCTCCCGGCGAATTATCCTCTTCCCGACGACAGCTTGTTCGTCGATCAATCGGAGATGCTTTACTTGTTGGATTTGCGATCCTTTTATCGTGAATCGTTCAACAATTTTAGTAACAATGCTCCGCGAATTGCGTTGACAAGATTTTCGCCGATGATCCAGCGATTCTTGTTGCTTAATCCTTCCGCGGTGATCTGAAGGAAAGTCATGATAATCAGATAAAAAAATATGAGTTTTGGCTTTGTGAGGATTCGAACCCACGCCGGTTGCCCCACCCCTTCTAGGAAGATGACGCGGGTTTAGTCTCACATCGGTTGTGCGTCGAATTTTCAGACGAATATATATTAATGTTAGATTTCTAAGCAAGTCCCTTTCTTGCGCGTGTACGACCACTCCTTGCCCCACAGCCGGCTTGCCACCAGTGACGTGGAAGGGGAGTGACACACACGTGCCCCCATCAGTTCAAGCTGCTCGAGCCCCTGCTCACAGCTACTCCCCGACTGTGCTTCCTACCCGCTTGCGGGCCCGCCTGGCCAGCGGGTCCCCCCATTTTACTATGTTTTTTTTTTATTTCTTTTCCTTCATTTATCTCAAATATAAGACTGTAAAAATCGAATAAAATCATATAATTACCTAAAAATTCACATTTATCAACTTAAAACCACTTTTCACACTTTAACACAAATATAAGTCTATTTATCATGAGTTAAGGCTAAAACTATATTATTTACTAATTATTAACTCATGATAATGAAGACTTATCAGTCACCTGACGGAGAGGAGCTAGATGGAGGTGGGGCGCGTGTTAAGGAGCTTCATCCTTAGGTCCGTGCAGCAAGAAGAGGCTCTTCATCGCATCTAGTATGCTCTCAAAAGGTGGCGACTGACGTGACTCAGTCGTCATATATTAAATCACACAAATATAAAATTTATAAAACTAGAAAATACGAATTTTCGGATATTTAGAAGTATTTATAAATAAATATATCAATTATAATTCAATAAAAATTCCAAAAATAGCGGTAATTTTCCAGGTCGATCACATGGATGTAATATAATATCTAGTAATTAATCAGAATTTATCTCAATGAATACGATTTTCTATGAATTTTATACTAGGAAATAAAAAGGAATTATATTTAAAATTCACGAAAAAGGGAAATAAGGGTGCAGACATGATGATGACGTCAGCACCCGGCGAGCGCGAATAACCCGACAATTTCCCCCGTATGGAGCAACCGTCGCCCGGCGATTCTTACGTAAGCGATTACGGACGATTTAATTGATCAAATTAAGATCTGTAAAGTCCGGAAGAATCGTAATGGAATGAAGAATAGTTTGGTAAATTTAAATTACACAAATTATCACTAAATGAAGCGTAAAGTAAATTGAAAGCAGGAAAACAAAGTTCCGGCGTCGCGACGGCGATGCGTCGGCGATGCACCGGAATACTGAGCGTTCGGGAGGATCGTCGTGCAGTGTCCATGGCCTCGAAGGCTCTCCTTGGACAAAGACGACGTGGGCAATCTCTAGATCTTCTCGCGAAGTCTAGAGATCAATGAAGTGGGTCGTCGAATCGTCTCCGGTGGCTGTCACCCGGCGGAGCGGAAAAACGGCGACTTTGCGGCTCTCCGGCAGCTGTCACCCGATGGAGAGGAGCTGGATGGAGGTGGGGCGCATGTCAGGGAGCTTCATCCTCAGGTCTGTGTAGTAAGGGGAGGCTCTTCATCGCATCTGGTACGCTCTCAGGAGGTGGCGACTTGTCTCCCGACGGATCGTCCTCTTCCCGACGACGGCTTGTTCGTCGATCAATCGGAGATGATTTACTCGATGGATTCGCGATCCTTTTATCGTGAATCGTTCAGCAACTTTAGTAGCAATGCTCCGCGAATTGCGTTGACGAGATTTTCGCCGATGATCCAACGATTCTGGTTGCTTAATCCTTCAGCGGCGATCTGCAGGAAAGTCGCGATAATCAGATAAAAATATATGAATTTTGACTCTGGGAGGATTCGAACCCGCGCCGGTCGCCTCGCCTCTTCTGAGGAAGGTGTGACGGGGGTTTAGTCCCACATCGGTTGTGCACCGATTTTTCGGGCGAATATATAGTAATGTTAGCTTTGTAAGTAAAGTCTCTTCTCTCGCGTGTACGACCACTCCTTGCCCCACAGCCGGCTGGCCACCGGTGACGTGGAAGGGGAGTGGCGTACACGTGCCCTATCGGTCCCCAAGCCAAGCCGCTCGAGCCCCTGCTCGCGGCTACTCCCCGACTGCACTTCCGACCCGCTTGCGGGCCCGGCTGGCCGACGGGTCCCCCCATTTTTGCAATATTTTTATTTTTATTTCTTGTTCTTCATTTATCTCGGAAGTAAGACTGTAAAAATCGTATAAAATCACATAATTACCCAAAAATTCACTTTAATCAACTGAAAACCACAAATCATTTTTTAACACAAATATAAGTCTATTTATCATGAGTTAAGGCTAAAACTATATTATTTACTAATTATTAACTCATGATAATGAAGACTTATCAGCGACTCATCTCCCAGCAGATCGTCCTTGATAAGTCTTCATTATCATGGGTTAATAATTAGTAAATAATATAGTTTTAGCCTTAACTCATGATAAATAGACTTATATTTATGTTAAAGTGTGAAAAGTGGTTTTCAGTTGATTAATGTGATTTTTTAGGTAATTATGTGATTTTATATAAATTTATATGATTTTTACAGTCTTACTTTTGAGATAAATGAAGAAAAAGAAATAAAACTAAAATATTGCAAAATGGGGGGAACCCGCCGGCCAACCGGGCCTGCAAGCGGGTCGGAAGCTCAGTCAGGGAGTATCCGCGAGCAGGGGCTCAAGCGGCTTGGACCGATAGGGGCACATGTGCACCACTCCCCTTCCACGTCACCGGTGGCCAGCCGATTGTGGGGCAAGGAGTGGTCGTACACGCGAGAGAAGGGACTTTGCTTAGAAAGCTAACATTACTTTATATTCACCTGAAAAATTGGCGCACAACCGATGTGAGACTAAACCCGCGTCACACCTTCCTCGGAAGGGGCAGACAACCGGCGTGGGATCGAATCCTCCTAGAGTCAAAATTCATATATTTTTATCTGATTATCGCGACTTTCCTGCAGATCGCCGCTGAAGGATTAAGCAACCAGAATCGCTGGATTATCAGCAAAAATCACGTCAACGCGATTCGCAGAGCATTGCTACTAAAGTTGCTGAACGATTCGCAATAAAAGGATCGCAAATCCATCGAGTAAATCATCTCCGATTGATCGACGAACAAGCCGTCGTCGGGAAGAGGACGATCTGTCGGGAGACGAGTCGCCACCTCGTGAGAGCATACCAGATGCGATGAAGAGCCTCCTCTTGCTGCGCGGACTTGAGGATGAAGCTCCCTGACACGCGCCCCACCTCCATCCAGCTCCTCTCCGTCGGGTGACAGCTGCCGGAGAGCCGCAAAGTCGCCGTTTTTTCGCTCCGCCGGGTGACAGCCGCCGGAGACGACTCGACAACCCATTTCATTAATCTCTAGACTTCGCGAGAAGATCTAGAGATTGCCCACGTCGTCTTTGTCCAAGGAGAGCCTTCGAGGCTGTGGACACTACACGACAATCCTCCCAAACACTCAGGATTCCAGTGCATCGCCGACGCATCGTCGTCGCGACGTCGGAACTCTGCTTTCCTGCTTTCAATTTAATTTACGCTTCATTTAGTGATACTTTGTGTGATTTGAATTTACCAAAATATACTTCGTTCAATTACGATTCTTCGGCTTTTACAGATCTTAATTTGATTAATTAAATCGTCTGTAATCGCTTATATGCAAATCGTCGGGCGGAACATTGTTTCCGCCCGATTCGTGTTCGCCAGGCACTTACGTCATCCTCACGTCCGCACCCTTATTTCCTTTTTTCGTGAATTTTAAATATATTTCCTTTTCATTTCCTAGTATAAAATTCATAGAAAATCGTATTCATTTAGAAAAAATCTGAATAATTATAAAATATTATATTACATCCCTGTGATTGACCTGGGAAATTACCGCTATTTGTGGAAGTTTTATTGAATTATAATTGATATATTTATTTAGAAATACTTCTAAATATCCAAAAATTCGTATTTTCTAGTTTTATAAATTTTATATTTGCGTGATTTAATATACAACGACTAAGTCACATCAAGTATATATGATGACATTCATCCATGTGAATCATATAAGATTTAACTTTGTCAAAATATGCTTTTCAAATTGAAAACATTACAAAGCATAGCTATGTGACTTTTATTTCAAACTCCTCTTTATCTACCCAATCTTCTATGAATTTAGATGTTTCTTAATTTTTAGATCATCACTAAAGAAATCATACTTTTACTATGATGGGAACCAATTATGGCATTACATTACTTTCAGTTTTGGACTACATGTGGTTCTGAACACATTATGGGGTGGATGTGTGTCCTTTGGTGGACACATAAGCTTCCAATACATAATTATTATTTCTTCATAACTTTACGTATTCTAATAAATAATATTTCTAATAATATTTAATATTCTAATAAATAAATATAACCTAAACTATAAAATTCGTGCCATTTAATCCAATACTTGTAGTGTTCATTTATTTAATGATAAATTTTTTAGTTTTGGTAAACTATAGTAATTATTCATTGCAACTAATCATTATGATTGTATGAAATAATATTAGATTTCTTCCCTTTAATACTGTATTTTTATGTGCCAGCTTTCTTATAAAGAAGTAATATTCATTATTTATGCATAAAATTTACATTTATGGGTCTAATAATTGTTTCTGATAATTTGTAAGTGTGAATGTACTTAAACATATTATATTCCTGTACTTAATAGGTTACGTCTAAAGTGGTGCCATTTCCAAGGTGAATAAATAGTAGGTACAAAACATTTCTAAAGTTTAAATGTTGGCAATAAATGATACATATTCCTAGCAAAAGTAACTATTATATAAATATCTACTTATACTCACGCCCTCTAAATGATTGTCTTATATTATTATCATTGATTGATATAGTTTCTCTTTTTGCATAAATATTAATTACACACCTTTATCAATAGCTATGATTACATTAAAAAAGTATTATATTCATGCCCTTAATATGAGGCTTTTAAACTATCGTTTTCTTTATGAATAAATAATAACAATAATAATAAATAATTTAGTCATGAGATTTATGTTTTCTCAATTGGCACTTTACAGATTTTATTTATATTCTTACATGTACATGGTCATGGTCTGTCATCAATCAAACATTTTATCCGTTTCTTTCTATGACACTCATCTTCTTCATTATTTACCTGCAATCTTCCACGTTTTTGGTGAACCTGTTGGAAACATGGTCAGCCTATTTAACAACAGATGATAGAGCCATGAAAAAGAGATAAAACCATCTGACATAAAATAAAAATATGTGAGGTAATTTCAGTGATGTCATGTTTGCAACCACCTTCAAAATTGCATCAATCCGAATGGTCTTTAACAGGGTGCAGGGGGGGCATATCAAGCTTCCAAAAAGAGAAATGAGCTTCGAGTAGGTGGGCTGCTCAACAAATTGTATCTTCTTCACTGCTTCAAGGAATTGTGCAAAAGGAGGGGGACAGCCACCACACAGCGTCTCGGGGGAGGTTACAGTCTTGTTCATGAAGACTAGAAACCTCTTGTCATTCCCCTACATAGTTGGCATAAGAATCAGCAAGTGATCAATCAAAGAGATGGGAGAACATGGAAAGGTGAAAACAAGAAGTGATTGGACTGCAGCAACATACCCAGCCCAAAGTCGATGAGAAAAAGCTTCTTCTCCCCTGAGCTTCCGGGTTTACCCAACAATAAATTCTCTGGCTTGACGTCTCCATGCACAAACCTGGCATGTTTTTTTTTTTGTGTGGGTGGAGGGAGGGAGGGGAGTGCACAAGGGAGCAATGAATTGATTACTGTGACCTTTGCAAAAATTTAATTGAAAAAATATCACACTGCCACAAAGCCATACGTACCCTTTTTGGTGTAGCTTCTCAAGGATGGATATTGCCTCCACAGCAATACAAGCCACCATATTTGGTGGCATTCTGTCCAAGGAGTTAGTCAAACTCAATAGCACAATTCTCAACAGAATATTGACTTTGAATATGAAGTCAAGATTATTTTCTTACACTTGCCCAATGGATATGAACACATCCAGGAGACTTGGTCCAAGGATGTCCATGATCTGCAGCAATCATTATCAACAATATCATAATTAGCTTTCAATAAAAAATATAATTCGAGGAAACAATAAAATGAAAGACTCTACGCCAACCATGACGAAATAATCTCCTTGGCGGCCCTTGTAGTGCACCCTAGGCAATCCATAGCATCCCTTGAGATGGCTAAAATCATATTCACAAAGTCAGATGAAGAACGTAGTTTTAGATCGACACAATACGTAATAAATTAGAGCAGTAGGGGGTGTCTTCTTACTCATAAACTTGCCATTCATATGGGGGGCCAAATCTGCAACCCGCGCTATTTCTATGCTCAAACTTCAGTGCTACCTACACCCACCGCAGGAAAATGAAAGAGACAACATAAAACAGCAGTATTTAAAGATTCCCTTGGCAGGAGTGATGGGAGGTTGAAACTAAACCTTAAAGGCATTGGGCCCATTGCCCTGAGATCCACCAGCCACCCTTCGTCCAATGTAGACCAGCCCAAAACCTCCTGCACCCAACATTCTCTCTACCTTGTATAATGGAGAATTTCCGACCTGCACCTGTCGATTTTGGATAGGACA